TAGTAGAGAATTGATAAGAAGTAGTGGATTCGTAAACGATAATCAACGAGCGACTTTAGTCGCAAGTTGATTATCGTTTCCGAATCCACTACTTCTTATCAATTCTCTAGCTTAACCCATTTCTAGTAAAAAGACTGTCTGTTTTATGTTTTGACAATGAATCAACGGAATTTCATAAAAATAATTTTGTATTTTATCTTTTTTATTCTACAATAGCTGGAAATGATTATATCCACACGGTTCACGTCTATATTTAGGTTAACATAAGTTTAATGTAACTTAAATGGGTTGATAGCTCCCCTTTTTATTACCAGATTTCATACTTGTATATTTATATTTCATTTAATGTTTTATCATTACAAAGTATTTAAATTGTATAGATTTTGGTATTTTGTGATTTATTCAAAAAGACATATATAAATATACAGAATTTATTTATCTTTTTTTGAATAGTTAAAAAAAAAATCTAATTACCAAATTTTAGAAACCTTTGAAATTTAAATATATAGTATTTAGCAATCTGTGATTCTTTACCAGTCACGTCTCAGTCATTACAACTGAACGGACATGCTGGGTCAGCTCTCCTTTATCCGCTATCTTCGATGAGGGTTTACTGTTAGATGGATCAACGACTTTCTACTTTCGATGACAGAAACCAATCCAACGCTGTACAGACTACGTTAGGCTATAATCCGCGTAGGGCTAATTCCCGCGTCAACATACACTCCAAAACCCATTATGGATGGGGGAGTGGTATGCCGAGTGACGTCCGAGGGCTGTATCCTAGGTGTTAGATGATGGACCACCATTTCACTGTCTCACGACTTTGGTCCTGATAATGCTTCCTGTCATCGTTAATACTACGTCCGAGACTCATCTACCAGTACTCCATCGTCGAGGTTAGCGGGCTGCCAAGCTGACCAATCTGGCCCTGAATGCAGTCGTTGTGAAGACATAACATCAAAATAGTCAACTTATGACAAAAGAAAAACCAAAACAACTCACAAAACCAAGATGGCGGCCTACCAAAATGGCGTCCTCCACCTGTTCCTGACCGATGGCACAAAATTATTTAAACGCTCACCAAACGCCTTCGGGCACCGAGCCGACCGTGCGAGGGATGTATATCCAGTCAAGGTCGTAAAACACTTCCAGTAGTAGTGATTCTTTACAGCTGATTAAGGATTGCCTACTTTATAACCGTAATTAAAGATAAAAAAAACTTTATAACCGTACTAAGTCAAATACATATATTTAGCGTAGTTGCCATAATACTACAATTTCACGATGCTCCAGTTAATGATGCTTTCCGAAATAAATAAAATAATTGCTTAAGGTCTTGTTTGAACAATTATACATGTATTTTGTTTAAACTGTTTCCCTTTCATTAAGTTTAGATTATTTTAACGTTATTACATTTGGCATCCATCGTAAACCAGTCCATAAACTAGTATTATCTGTGCTACGCATTCTGAATCTCCAGCAGAATTGCTCGTGCTACAGATGTACAATGTATAATTATGTCATTGTTTTACTTTTACATTCAAGCTGTTCATAGCCGTGATCGTCTAGTCGTTGGTACCAAAAGACATATTAACAGTGCCAAGTTTAAACCTTGTACCCGAATTGAAATTTTTCATTGTAATTTTTTTCTCGACAAAAATATTGTTTTAATCTTAGAGGTATTATATACTTCATTTTCATTTTAAGGCGATGATTTTGTTTCTGGTTTTACTGTCAAAGAAGTAGTTTTACGGTCGTAGCTTATATATCACACTTTATTCAAATTAGAGTCCGTTCAATGTTGACGTGATGTATATTTGGACCATTTATAATCAAACAAAGAAAAACATATTGATAGTTCGATATCATTATAAGACTAAAACCATAAGTAAGCATTTGCTATGATGAATAGGAAAAGTCCTTGAACGTTAAAAGTGACAAGTGTAATGGGCATATGGATGTTTATTTTATCAAGGAATTGTACTAATATATACAATTCCTTGATTCTCTAGTGTTTAGAACTAGTGTGTAATAGCCACAATCGTATAAAGACCCATCGGTTCATTATAACGATGTTAAAAACCGACCAATGTTCAAACCTTACATCGTGAATAAACTCTTTTTTAAGATATTTCCATACTGCTATATAACTATACTCAAGAACGTTCAAATGTAGAACATAATCATCCTTAAAAAATAACGCCCAAAATAAAACAATTTACATAAATTTGAAAAGAACATGAACAAATCCAGACATAGTATATATATTTTATTATATAACAAAAGCGAATTATCTCTGAGATAGAAATACACTTTATTGACATGTATTGACAGTTGTGCGCTTTAAGAGTGTTATTTAAATAATGATTTATGTCTGCACTCGTGGTATAGTGGTATCATGCATAGACTGAAGACTCTACTGATTATGAAGAAACTACGCGCGAGTTCGAACCTTTCATATGCACTCTTTTTTGAGAGGATAAAAAATCATAAGTTAAAAGTTTAAAGTTATAAAATATGTTTTTATATAAGTTTCTAATTTTTTTGCTCTGAAGGAGAAAGTGGATCTCATCTTTCACCTCCTCCTCACAAAATTTACAAATACGCTCAGGAGCTGAGATGTTTTTGTGTCTCCCTGTTTCAATTGCAAGCTGATGGTCCCCAATTCTGAGTTTTGTTAATGCCTGTCTTTGTTTAAAGTTTAACCGGTTTAAATAGTGTTCAAAATTAAAAAAGACGCTACATGAAAATAGAAAGTTCACAGTTAGCTAATCAAAGATTTTTAGAAAACTTAAACACTCCAACAAAAGGCATGCGTAAAATGAAAGTCAAGGTGAACTTTTAGTTTTAATTTTTGTTACTGACCGCGATGCATCAGCTGACAAAAGATCATTCCACTATTATGTGCAGTTTCTTAGATCTGGACCTTTACACAAACCTTTCACGCCTTTTAAACCGAACTCTCGGACGAAACGCTATCTACCCCATTGAACTAGGAATAAAAACGCTGTTCCGTCAATATAAAACATAGTTTAATTCCAGAAATACCAATTTTTCAGTTTTTGTGAGGATACCTGGTATATAAACTTATCATTCCCGTTAAAATGTTTTGATTTCATAAAAAAAAAACGTCGAAAGTTACGCCGATTTCAATGTCACAGACTGACTTAGCGGACGGTTACTGTCCTTTAAAACTTTGAACTTATCTGACACAGTTGAGTGTCATATGTATGGACTAACACACGAGATAAAATGATTTAGACTTGAAAAAAAAACGGACTGATTAAGTGACATTTATATTAATTTTGAAAAAAATCAGGAAACATTCTGTGTCATCTCCATTTTAAAGAAAATTCAAATTTGTAAAACCGTGTCAGGTAAGATAAAGCAATTTTTATTGGGTCAAGGAATAATTTATAACACAAATATTTTTCTTCTGAATGTTGTCTAATCAGATACAGGAAGAAAGAGATAAAGCGAACAAACACACCCGTCCCTCTTAATTATTGGACCTGCACCTTTAATGAACGGTATGTTAAGTGATATGTTTACTAGTTTTATATGCTTTTCTTACTTTAATGTCTTTTTTCTTATCATTCGATTTGGGTTATTTTCCTTTTTAATTCCATTTAAGTGTTGTAGAACTTTGATTATTGATTTATTTGAATTATCAGTAATGAGTTCTATCTTAAACGGTCTATCTTAATCTTAGTGGCCATTTTTCAAAATTTCATATTTTCTTTGGGCGCTTTATAAAGTAAATGAAAGCAAAAGTTCAAGTAAATACGAAATCTTCCAATAGGCCATACTGTGTGACATTTTGCACAGAAAGAAGTGTTATTTGTGATGAAAACCAGGTTTTCTTACCTAGTTCATCCCAACATATATCAATCAGTAAACACGAGTGTATTGTTGAATATTTTAAAGCACTTCTTTTTATCTTGATAAATTTTAACCAAGATATTAACCTCCGAATATGCACAGCTACTAAACTGGGGATACTCAATGGTAACGTTGAATGCATTCCTCCGAAGGTTTTACGAACGCCATTATGGCTTGGTAGACTGGAATAACTGTGTCACTCACAGATGACAACGGGGATATGTTCATCGTTTATAACTGATCAATGACATTTTACTTGTCCTGAGCACAAAAGACGGGTACCGCTTAGGAAGTAGGAAATGCTGACCCCTGCTGCTCAGCTGCTGAGTTCATCCACGGTGGGACTCGCATGGCTCAGTCTTATGTTTTCTGTATAGAGTGTAGACTAATATTTGTCTTTTGGGATTACAACGCATGTTGCTTCTGAATAAATTATAATGTAAGCTTTGTATTTGAAGGGTTACCATCGTCAATTAACGATTTGATTGGCGCGAATGCAGTTTTTTCTGGCGACACAGAACGGAGTCAGTAAAAAAGGATATTTTCGATAGTCAAATACCATTGCCAGGGAAAAGTCTTTTACATATTTCAATATCTCATATAAATGACATAATGATAAGTAATGAATATATCATGTATCATAAATCTAGCAGTCATCTAGACTATTGAATTGAATTTTTACTGATTTACTCTTTACTCAATTTATAATAAGTCATGTTCGATGTTTGGCGTAAACATTGGATATATTTTTTTAATCAAACCTCCTCGGCATAATTTTGACAAATTCTGCATTCTCGTTTGCCATGTGATTTCAGAGGAAAAAGTTTTCGAAATGTTAACGAGTTAACGACAAGACGTCCGGACGGACACCATGTGATGGTTGTAGCTCAAACTGGTCACTTGGACAAATGAGCTAAAATTACTGGAAACACGCTATTTTAGTACTTTTTATCGTTTAAGTTTTCATTGATATAGAAATGAAAAAGATATTTGATCAACTGTGGTGTAACGGTCTGTTTATTATATAACAATAATTTACGAATCACTTATCCTTGCATTTAATGATATAAAAGATGAGTCTTTCTACCTGGTGAAGGTATGCTATACTGAATGTTCTGTGTAATTCTAAATTATCAACTTTATTTACATGTTCAGTGTAATGCTAGGACTGCAATAAATTTTAAATTGATTCTGATTGTTAAGCAGTTTAAAAGCTACCTTTCTAATTTGGACAAATTCGCAACCATTGTATCGGTATGTACATGAGTTATATTTGATTGCTGCTTGTAAAATCCCCTTTGGGACCTTGATTGAAATTATGAAAGATTTGAATTGATTTATATTATGTTTTCTGTCTCTTTTGTTGATGTTTATTTTGTACGGTTTGATTATGCAATGAATGTCTATTTTACTAGACATTAGATTACTTGTTTCGTCTAATGCATACATTTCTCAGCAATGGAGTATGCCATTTAAATATGAATTATCACCCTTAGTGTACATGTGTCATAAATCGGCAACTGGTACAATGTAATGTCATCCCCCTTCTTTATGCATAAAAGATTAAAAAAAATAACTTGGAATGTGTGTGAAAATAAATTGTATGTTATATACTGTCTACACTAGGAACAACGAAAATCAAAGGACGATAACTGTGTCCCTGGACCAACAGTCTGTCAGACTTATAACTAACCTCATAAACAGAGAAAAAAATTCAAAAATTTCACACACAATCACAATCTAACATTACAATGCTGTGATTCTGTCTTTGCATAGTAACAAAAAACATTCCAGGATATAATGTTCATTAGTTTTATTGCTATTAAGTGAAATATAACAAATATTAAGATAAGAACTTGGGATAACAAATGTACTTAAACTCATGGTATATTCCAAAAGAATACAAAACCTAAAAGTATGTCTATATACAGTGAGAAATTTGGCAGAAATCGCTTCAAACGGTCATGAAAACAATTGACGATTGGCTGTCGTTGTCATGATTGGTAAAAGCAATATCGAATGAGGTAGTGAATTAAACTAAGTTTAACATCACCAAACCGCCACTTGTATGAAAATTATACGTTTCTTGGCATCAGTGTGTCCCTAATGGAATGTGGTTGTGTATTTATACATCCAGTACAGTCAAACCAACTCTCCCCAGCGAGAGTTCATGCAAAGGCTTTGTGCGAACAAAAAGCCTGCCATACTCCATCTCACGTTAAATTGAACGTCCCGAATCAGTTAGGATATGGCTTCGAAAGTATCCATTCCGCACAACAAAACAGGTCTCGCATCCAAAAAATCAAAAATAACAGACGTAGTCAAAATAATTTATGGCAATCATTAAAAATGGTTCTTTCTTCAAACGTATGTTTCTGAAACGATTATAACCTAATCCGAGCTATTGCATTCGTTAATACCAATAGAAAACAATGATAAAAACACCAACGGAAAATATTCCACTAATTGGCCAAAATAATTACATAACAATCATAACATTATGATGTCTAACCACATACATAGACAAGGCAAGTGACATCGTACCATATACATTATAAATAAGATGATGTGGTATGAGTGCCAATGAGACAACTCTCCATCAAAGTCACAATGTATAAAAAATTAACAATTATAGTTCAAAGTACGGCCTTCAACACGGAGACTTGGCTCACACCGAACAGCAAGCTATAGAGGGTCCAAAAATGACTAGTGTAAAACAACTCAAACAGGAAAACCAACGGTCTAATCTATATAAAAAACGAGAAACGAGAAACACCTATGAACCATACCAACTAATGACAACCACTGAACAACAGGCTCCTGACTAAGGACATGTGCATAAAATGCAGCGGGTTTAAACCTTTTAACAGGCGCCAACCTTCACCCTAACCTGAGACAGTAGTGTAACATTACAACATAAAAAGACACACTATAAAATATCAATTAAAATGGCTTAACTCGATCAAAATGACATTTAAACAAAAATAAGTAAACATTCAATGAACGAATAAGTTTGATCTATGACACAATATAAATACAATATTGAAACGTATGTGCCTATATAACATAGACATGTATATATAACTTAAGTGATTATAATCTAAGTTAAACGACATATACATCATGGTGATAAAATACAGGAACATAGAAATTGATACAGTTTGTATCAAAAACTAAATGCTCAATAGCTCTGATATTTGAAATAAAACAGACAAAAAATGTTCTATTTTATAAACTGTATAGAGAAAACAAACAATAATAATATTTAAAAAAAAAAACAATAGAAAGTCTTTCTTAACTTCTGAAGCAGCAAGGTTAATCTATTTACTAGTATTTGGGATATGTCTGAAGCAGCAAGGTTAATCTATTTACTAGTATTTAGGATTTTTTTCTGAAAGGCCTCGATGGATACATTGTTTACCCTTACAAAAAAAATCATCCGAACTCAAATTCCAAATATTTCCCAAATCATTTGGATTTTTTTTTTCTTTCAGGGATGAAAGTGGTTGTATATCTAATATTACTGACTGGATGTTTGGCAGCATCAAAGCTCCATCAAGTGATAGATAATGGTCACAGCTTCAATGTTACAGTTAATAATATTTTGGTACATATTATTTCAGTTATTTTAATTTGTTTTTCATTGTGATGATATTTGAAGATTTTGTCACGTTTTGTTCCTTAGTAGGAAATTGATCGGTTGTTAAAGCGACTCGGATATTCGATACATTAAAAATTTCATAAGTTTAAGAGCAGCACATCAGTCGATTTTAAAATCGAAAATTTTTCAAAAGAACATTTTTTTTCGATTCTGTTTATTGATGTGGTATGGTTTCGTTTATAAAAGGACAAGGTATGATAAGGGGCGTTTTTGGCCCCCTCTCAAAATAAGCTTATATTCATATCATTGATAGCCTTTGTATAGAAACTTGTGAAAACAATGATTTTTTTATGTTCCGGTTAAAGGAAGGTTGCCTAGCAACGGTTTTATTTAATAGCCAAATTATCACTTATGGATTGCATTATCTATACAAATGAGCTCAATTCCAAATGTTATTGTTTGCTTTAGAGGGACCTGAAGTTACGATCGAATGGTCACGTTAATTTTCAGTTTACTAAAATGCTTAGCAACAACCTAACAACAAAATTGTTGCCTAGCAACATATCAAACATTGGTAAGTTTTTCCCTCTGAGGTATTAAATAATAGCAATATTTGTAGATTAAGCATCCATAAATTGTTTTTCAGTCTTATATTATAGTTCAGTCATCTTTTTTTTTGTCGATGTTCATATTGAGCATAGCAACACAAATATTGCTTAGCAACAGTCAAAAATGAATAAATTGAAGAGAAATATAAAAACAATTCTTTTATTGTACAAGTTACAATAAAAGCAAAACTGATTGGCATATAAGAATAAATAACTGTAAGAAATAAAAGTAATTTTAATTGAAGTTCATGTTTATCAACAACGTTTCAACCAAAATAGTGCATAGCAACGGTTTAATAACGATTCTTTTTTTATCTCAAGTATGAATTTTGCTATTTTTAAAAACTTACTTTCACATATGGAGTACACTATGATATGAATATCTTATTCAATAGTCTTTTTTTATGAAGTCCATATTGTGTATAGCAACACAAATGTTGCTTAGCAACTATCAATCATGTTAAGATTAAAGACAACTAGACTAGTATTTTCATATTATTCTACAAATAAATAGATTGTCCAGTTCTGTACAAGAAGACTAGAAAGAAATAAAAAGACAGTTCAATTATAACTTTTTTAGTAACTATCAACAACCTAGCATGTGCATATATATATAATTTTCCAACAGAAAATAGTATTATATACATTTAAACAACACAGTTATCATACTGACATCCAGCTAAAGCATATCCAGAAGAGAAGATCGTCATACCAACATTGTTTGCTTTTAGTTTAAATTATAATCATAGTTTGTGTTAATGTATGAATTTAAGAACGTTAATTAAATATAATCGTTTTTTTCATATCAGATTTCATTCATACGCTCGCACATATAAGCATTGATAAGTAACAATTTCATATTAAACAATCTGCAATCACATATAAAATAATTCAAATGGATCTTGTTCATACAATTTTTCATTCTCGTACATACACTTTCACATGAACTTTTATGATTCCATCAACAGTAATTAACCAATATTAACAAATTGAGTAACATTAAAAAGCTTTTAAGTGACACTTATCTTTATAAATATTAGTAAGAATCAAAAATAAAGCATTGACCCTACCGTTTTGTAAACTACATTAAAACACAAAGAGATTAAAAATACTATTGAAAATTGAGTAACAGATCAGGAAGTTTTCTGTATTTGTAACAAAAGCGTGTTGCTAGAATTCAATTTTTTATCTGTTGGTGAACTGTTAACCAATTACAAGGACATTTTAAATACGTAATAGCGAATGCAAAGTTCAGTGTTCTTGGTCAACACTTACTAAATAAAAGAAATAGGCATAAAGAAGGTGAACTCCATGAACTATTTCATTTTTCTCTAAAAAAAATATATTGCTAGATTTCTTGAAATTAACACATATGGTCTCGTCTCATTTGCAATCATACCACATCTCTTTATTTTATACAGAATGGGACACTTATGTGTATATGGAAAGATAATTATACATATGTACTTGGAATGAAATATTTTACGAAAACTCTACATTTTAAATTGATTAGATATCTTAAACGTCCTTTTACAGTATGTTAATGTTGTGGCCAATAGTATCAAGGGAAATAGACACAGTTACACGACACACTTGACCAAACACGACAATGTAATGATTTATACAAAGCGACATGTGTATTGTCCAGTGGGTATGTCAGCAACAAAAACATGTGTAAACAAAGCGAAAAATTGAAATAAATACCAAATCAAGTCTTCCACTTCTCACACTCAAACATGCTCCAACGAGACACCGAAAAGATAGGTGGCCATTCTTCAAGTTAGGTTTTAGAAAACAGCCATTACAAGTTAGATAAAATAAATCTCGTGGTTAAAAAGTGCTTTTTTTCAGAAAAATTATATAAATGTGATGACATATGGAATGTGAAAACAGTGACACTTAAATGACCTTCATTCATTTTAGATTATAACAGCAATGTACATCTTACAAATAAACAATAAACAAGTTGCGAGGCGTTTGTTCAAGTCATTCTTAGCTACGGTTAAATTCATTATGATTGTAAGTTATTCTTCTATATATGAATCAACACTTTCTACGTCAGACAGATCGGACTCTTCAGGAACATCTTTAGCATTGAGTATGGAACTTGAAAACTTTCCGGAAGCATTGACAGATTGAGCAGCCCCAATATTCCACCTATGATATCCAAGATACCAAACAACGCTTGCGATGTGGGCACAACACCCAACCATACGTGACCCAACTTTACAAGTACAGTACCAACCAGTGACTTCATTTTCATCGTACTCCAACCACAAATGGTAGCATCTTGAAGATGAATGGCGAGAGTGCATCTTTACTCGCAACAGATCTGGCCTATCCTTGCAAATGAACAATGCATAGTTGTCGTCCTCCTGATGGGCATCCGTGTACCTTTTAGCTGATTTGATTTGGTAAATACCCATTGTAATTTGTCTAAGATGGTCTAGAGATATTCTGGGAAACATATCAAGCTCAGTCGCACCATCAACTTCTTTGTAGACAGTTTTTCTTCTCAAAAGGTTGTGCTCCTCTACATATGTTTTTACATGGTTGTCTAGTTGTGCCTTTTCAATCATTTCTTTACCTATGTCATCATTGCCGAAATCATTTATAAGAGGCGGTCTAAAACAGTTGACAAGTGCACAGACAATTCTTACAAAGTCCCCAATGTGTGGCACGTAGTGGTTGGCAACAACTTTATCCAAAAATTTCCACTGTTTTATTCTACCATTTGCACTTTCCACTACCCAGCGAACTTTAGTCACCAGTCGCGTTGTATTCGCTTCATCAACTGTTTGTTGTTTTGCTCCCTTAGAAAGAAAACAAGGCATCTCAACTTTGAAATTCATTTTTTTCAAAAACTCTTCTGCATCACGGAATCCTCTGTCTACAACCATGACATCATCCTCGTGCATCCATGTGTTAATCTCATCAGCATTAGTCTTAAATGCATGCTTTATGATAGAAGCATCATTGTTATGACCGTCAGCATAATATGGGCCGAGGACATTAAGAATATAACCGTCTGTAGCGACAATCATCATGGGCTTGACTAATGACCTCCCTTTATGCATACTGTATGTCTGCTTTTGAAAATGATGGTGGGAACTTTTCTGTAGGTAAATGTAAGTCCCATCAAGGACAAGAATCCCAGTATCTTGTTGATTATCTGCAAACAAAGTTCTCGCTGTTGGAGTGGTGTGGTCCCTAGTGAACTTGTCGTGGGACATATGTTGAAAGCCAAGAAACGAAGGCACGAATGACTTCATCAAGGATGATCTAGCTGCGTGTGTCGCTCTTTGAATTTGGTGTATTTCCAATGAAAATAATGTAGCTAAAATGGAGTTGGAGAGTCCAGTCCTAAGTTTAACTAAAAGAATGGCCAAACATGTCTTTACAGATCTTATTTCAGATTTTCTTAGGTCAGTTACTGTATTTGCAACAGCTTCGAACTGATTCCTGGTTAAACCAGTCAGTCGCTGGTAGTCCTCCTCTGACAATGAGTGTGAACAATCAAAATTAAGTTTGCCATTTAATGTCAATGTTCCTCGAACCCTGTTTAATAGTTCAGTGATGTCACTTCTATTAAAAAGTGTAGTGTTATTTACCTCTGGTATATTTGAAATAGACTCCTGTGTAAAATAGTTTCCCAAAAGATGATTTGGACAGCATCTGCTATTTGCTGGTATAACAATACATTTGTCAATGAAAGCCTGAGTTCGAGCCTCATGCGGTACAACTACCTGTCGATGTCGATTACTGCTATTTTTCTGGCAAACAGTACAACGTCTATGAGATTTAGATGTAGATGAAAGGTTTAACTGTATAGATTTCGGGCTAATTAGTTCTGATGGTAATGTTTCCTCTGCTAAAAAATCTGGATCATCATCATCGTTTGACTGGCAAGTTGCTATACCTTGTCTCATCTGTGGTGAGTTCATCACTGTTTTCATATCTCTGTATACTTGTGCCCTGCATTTCAAGCATATAGTTGCATTCTCAACATTCCTTTTAAGAGTCCTGGCCAGATAATCTCTTAATTTTTCATTTATTATAGTTCTTCTGTTATTCACTGTTAGGTGTGTCTTATTGCAGAGAACACAACTGTAACTTTTTGCCATGGCTAAATGCCTAAAAAAAATAAAAATGAAAAAATATATTATACATATATTTGTATGTATTAACTAGTATCCTATATATGTTTATTGCAAATATTTAAGATAAGAAGACAACACAAGTCTGTTTTGAGCACATGTACTCAATTGTCTTGAATTGTCTTGTCTTGTCATGCTAACAGCACCTTGTGCTGTGTCATGACCTTTATGTTATTTGTATCGTCTTGTTTAGTTTATAATGTCTTGTCTTTTGTCTCATGTCTTTTTTCTTGTTTTGTCTCTTGTCTCGTTCACATTGTCTTGTCTCTTGTCTTGTTTACATTGTCTCTTGTCTTTTGTGTCTTGTATCATGTCTCATTTACATTTCCTTTTGTCTCTTGTCTCATTTACATTGTGTTTTGTCTCTTGTCTCATTTACATTGTCTAGTCTCTTGTCCCTTGTCTCGATTACAATGTCTTGTCTCTTGTCTCGTTTACATTGTCTAGCCTTTTGTCCCTTGTCTCGATTACATTATCTTCTCTCTTGTCTCGTTTACATTGTCTCTTGTCTTTTGTGTCTTGTATCGTTTACATTGTCTCTTGTATCGTTTACATTGTCTCTTGTCTCATTTACATTGTCTTTTGTTTCTTGTCTCCTTTACAATGTTTCTTTTCTTGTCTCTTGTCTTGTTTACAATGTCTTTTGTCTCTTTTCTCATTTACATTGTGTTTTGTCTCTTGTCTCGTTTACATTGTCTAGCCTCTTGTCCCTTGTCTCGTTTACATTGTCTCTTGTCTTTTGTGTCTTGTATCATTTACATTGTCTCTTGTCTTTTGTGTCTTGTATCGTTTACATTGTGCCTTGTCTCATTGACATTGTCTTTTGTTTCTTGTCTCGTTTACAATGTTTCTTGTCTTTTCTTGTCTCTTGTCTTGTTTACAATGTCTCTTGTCTCTTGTCTCATTTACATTGTGTTTGTCTCTTGTCTCGTTTACATTGTCTAGTCTCTTGTCCCTTGTCTCGTTTACATTGTCTCTTGTCTGTTGTGTCTTGTATCGTTTACATTGTCTATTGTCTCATTCACATTGTCTATTGTTTCTTGTCTCGTTTGGTGTTTCTTGTCTTTTCTTGTCTCTTGTCTTGTTTACAATGTCTTTTGTCTCTTGTCTCATTTACATTGTGTTTTGTCTCTTGTCTCGTTTACATTGTCTAGTCTCTTGTCCCTTGTCTCGTTTACATTGTCTCTTGTCTTTTGTGTCTTGTATCATTTACATTGTCTCTTGTTTTTTGTGTCTTGTATCGTTTACATTGTCTCTTGTCTCATTTACATTGTCTTTTGTTTCTTGATTCGTTTACAATGTCTCTTGTCTTTTTTTGTCTCTTGTCTCTTGTCTTGTTTACAATGTCTCTTGTCTCGTTTTTATTGTCTTTTGTCTCTTGTCTGTCTCGTTTACATTGGTTTGTCTCTCTTGTCTCGTTCAAATTGTCTCTTGTCTTGTTTACGTTGTCTTGTCCCTTGTATCTTGTCTAGTTCACATTGTTATGTCTCTTGTCTGTTTACATTGTCTCTTGTCTTTTGTCTCTTGTATCTTGTCTCATTAACATTTCCTTTTGTCTCTTGTCTTATTTACATTGTGTTTTGTCTCTTGGCTCGTTTACATTGTCTGAAGTCTTGTCCCTTGTCTCGATTACAATGTCTTGTCTCTTGTCTCGTATACATTGTCTAGCCTCTTGTCCCTTGTCTCGATTACATTATCTTCTCTCTTGTCTCGTTTACATTGTCTCTTGTCTTTTGTGTCTTGTATCGTTTACATTGTCTCTTGTCTCATTTACATTGTGTTTTGTCTCTTGGCTCGTTTACATTGTCTGAAGTCTTGTCTCAATTACAATGTCTTGTCTCTTGTCTCGTTTACATTGACCTGTCTTTTGTCTCGTTTACATTGTCTTTTGTCTCTTGTCTGTCTCGTTTACATTGTTTTGTTTCTTGTCTCGTTCACATTGTCTCTTGTCTTGTTTACGTTGTCTTGTCTCTTGTATCTTGTCTAGTTCACATTGTCTTGTCTCTTGTCTTATTTACTTTGTCTCTTGTCTTTTGTCTCTTGTATCTTGTCTCATTAACATTTCCTTTTGTCTCTTGTCTCATTTACATTGTGTTTTGTCTCTTGTCTCGTTTACATTGTGTAGCCTCTTGTCCCTTGTCTCGATTACATTATCTTCTCTCTTGTCTCGTTTACATTGTCTCTTGTCTTTTGTGTCTTGTATCGTTTACATTGTCTCTTGTATCGTTTACATTGTCTCTTGTCTCATTTACATTGTATTTTGTTTCTTGTCTCGTTTACAATGTTTCTTTTCTTTTCTTGTCTCTTGTCTTGTTTACAATGTCTTTTGTCTCTTGTCTCGTTTACATTGTCTAGTCTGTCCCTTGTCTCGATTACATTGTCTTGTCTCTTGTTTCATTATCATTATCTTGTCTCGTTTACATTGACCTGTCTTTTGTCTCGTTTACATTTTGCTTGTCTCTTCTCGTTTTCATTGTCTTTTGTCTTTTGTCTCGTTTACAATGTCTGTTGTCTTTTCTTGACTCTTGTTTCTTGTCTTGTTTACAATGTCTTTTGTCTCTTGTCTCGTTTACATTATTTTGTCTCTTGTCTTGTTCACATTGTCTCTTGTCTCGTTTACGTTGTCTTGTCTCTTGTATCTTGTCTCGTTCACATTGTCTTGTCTCTATTGTATCGTGTCTTGTTTACATTGTCTCTTGCATCTTGTCTCGTTTACATTTCCTTTTGTCTCCTGTCTCATTTACATTGTGTTTTGTCTCTTGTCTCGTTTACATTGTCAAGTCTCTTGTCTCGTTTACATTATCTTGTCACTTGTCTCGTTATCATTATCATGTCTCGTTTACATAGACCTGTCTCTTGTCTCCTGTACATTTTGATTGTCGCTTGTCTCGTTTACATTGTCTTGTCTCTTGTCTCGTTTACATTGACCTGTCTCTTGTCTCGTTTACATTTTGATTGTTTCTTGTCTCGTTTACATTGTCTTTTCTCTTGTCTTGTTTACATTGTCTTGTCTCTTTTCTTTTGTCTCGTCTCGTCTTGTCTTGCTTAGAGGCCCTTGTGGTGTGTCATGACCTTTATGTTATTTGTCAGGTCTTGATTTTTGTCTTGTCTTGTATTTTACTATCTTGCCTAGTCATCATATCTTGTTTTCTGTTGTTTCTATCTTGTCTTGTAACTGTTTTTCAATGTAATCTTATTTACTGTTTTTTGACCTATCTGACTTTAGTGTTCATGTCTTTCTTGTTTCTTTTTGTTTTGTATTATATTGTTGAATGTCCTGTAATTTTTTTGAAACTAATGCACAAATAACTACTGTGAATGTTAACGGAAGAGGAACATTTTTTAAACTTGACAAATTGTGTTCTGTTTTCATTTTACTCTTTGGCAATTTCCAATTCAGGGTTTGTAAGAATGAATGCGAACTATATATAGTCCTAGTTACCGTTATAAACGTATGCCACATGCCGGGGCAATGTATATATTTTACAGAAAAAGGATTACCATATAACTGTTTTGTTATAGATTCGGCCGTGAGTTTTCTCAATTGACTTGTTACATTTTTTCATGTCTGGGCCTTGTATAGCCAACTATGTGGAACGGTTTTTCTCATTGCTAAAGGCTCCACTGCTTCATAAAATTGTTTACATCTATTTCATTAGAATTTTGGTGGCTAGTTGTCTAGTTGGGAATCATACCACGACTCCTTATTTCATATATGCACAACGAAACTATCTTGGTTTCTTCGAACACTTAAATAGTTGTATGGTCAGGTTGGGAGTATATATTTCTGTATTTTGTATTTATTCTTATAAATTACCTATTTTATGAATCCATTATAACATGTATCTATTCTGTTTATCATAACCATCTTGCTGGAATTTCGAAAGTGCTGCAAAATGTAAAAAAAAAATCCATATATATTTGATGATAAATCTTAAAAGATTTGCAAATAAACAAATACTGGAACGTATTAAGTCCGTCAGAGTTTCACCTTTGGTTGATACTTCAAAGACCATGTTTCAAAAACTACTTTTGTAGCAAGGTAAGCACTTTTTTGATTTTCTGATAAAGATTTATGCGCGATACACATGCATGCCATTGGGATGCTTGGTTTCCTAGAAAAATTGAAATTGAGAAAAGTTCCAGAACTGTTAGATTAAAAGTACATGTGTATAATGCATAACAAAGAAAGATAAGACACAATAATTTAGAAAAAAGTATATACAACTATACAATACATTTTACATGAACATTTATAATCGATCTTGGCGTATTAAATAAGTTTAACGTAATGGCATAGTATGACGTCGTACAAATAAAAACTTTTAAGCTAAACAATACTCCGTTACTTGTATGCTTCATATTAGGATATTCCCCTGAAATGGAGACTCTAAAGTAAGTGTTGTTTCAATGTATTTGTATTGGGGTTGGGGGGGAGGTGGTTCATTATATATTCTTCATATAGTTTTTAAATCAAAACAATCATAGCTTATTTTTTTTTATTCATAAGTTCATATTTCACTTCACAAAAATGAAAATATATTGATTAAGAGTCGATTACGGTGAATTGTTTTTATAGAAACCATATACTGAATATGAAAAATATCATTGACTTATTTTAGTTGTTTGGGACTGTAGACTCTCTTATTTTCACGAGAACTGCGAACAACAGAAAAGATAATCACTATTAGTGTTTTGCATTGCCTGTGTAAAGTGGTATCTTTTAAACAAAATTTAGCAAAGAATCATATGGTCAGATTGCACAGTAGACATTTTTTTTAATTACAAATGAAAGGGGAAAAGGTTCTGCTTAAACTTTAAGGCGGGCCTTTTTTTCTGTGTGAGTATGCACCATTTGAATACTGGTACATTGTTATATTAGTGTACGGAAGTCATCGTTTATGAATATTGCAGTACATCCGAAGAGTTGTAAATGTGTTGTAACAGAAGTGGTTCGGATAGATATATTTTGGAAAGAATGAGCACTGATATAAAATAAGCAGATATTGTATGATTTACCTAAATATCTTCTATCGGATATAACTAGTTATACATTTTGTTCTGGTATACTCTTCTTTGGGTTTTGTAGTGTGTTTTATTGGCAATATCAACAGGAGCTAAAAGAAAAGAAATGCTAAATAAACAACAAACTTTTATTTTATGAATACAGCTTATCAAGTTCAACAATTGTGAAAGAGTGCTTAACAATCTAAATTAACTGGAGAATGTGTCCATGGGACATGATGCCCCTCCCACTCTGCATATAATTATATAAAGAGAACGGTAAAAGTGACACCACCCAAATTCGAACTTGGTCTGTGTTTTGTGGTAATAAGCATTGTGTATCAGTTTCATACCATTTGGCTGAGACAAACTAAAGTTAGAGAACGAAAACCAATTTTGTGACGGACGGACGTACAGACGGACAAGGCTAACACTTAATGCCCCCTCTGGTTACGGTATGGGCATAAAATGTATTAAATGTAAATAGGGTGTCAATATGTAAATTACATTATGGATGAGTATTAATATTAGCTTGCTTTCAGTAACTGAACTCTATATCTTGAAGGAATTATATTGTTTACTGAGTCTTTTAATGTTGTTTACCATTGGTTAGAGTACAGTGTTTTACCAGTACCTATTTATATGCATGTTTTTTTTTTAAAGAAACGTTTTGTAAGTAAAGTAATTAACACACGAAAGGGAGAGGTTGAAATCTAAGTGTTATCACTCCTACATTTGCATTTTCTAAGTAAGACCACTTTTGGTGATAAGCTTTTGTGATACTGATAATTTCATAATCTTTTATTTTTGATTGTGTTCTTTCTTTCTTTTTTTTTGTGAATTTTGTCATGACCGCAGATCTTTTCAGTGTTTTTGTAGATTTAGTTTCTTTTGTTTTGCTATTGAGTTGAGTTTCACATGTAGTATACACATTTAAAAAAAAAAAAAACTGATAGTGCAGATTTTAAATCGGTCAGAGCATGCATTTTGATGACATTGAGTACAGTGGGCTCTACTGAAAGACTTCTGCTATCTGATTACCCCTGTATAACTATAACTTGGATATTTATCAACCTTTACTCCCAATGAGGGTCTCGAACTAGGCGGCCCACGATTAGTTTTACTTTGATGGCTTGTAGATTGAATACTCTTTTAATAGAAGTCTATGCGACTTCGTACAAGTGAGAGGTTTAGTTAGCCAGGTTTGTTTCATCATTTTCTACAGAGGAAAGCGATCAGATATTTGATTGAATTAGCCATTTGATATAAAAAAAAAACCCTCTTAATAAATTGATAAATGACTTCTCGTGCATGTTTTCCCTTTGAATTGAATGATGTGTATAGCTAGTAACGACCTGGATTACCCATGGAAGTTTACAGTTATTTATTTTTTTTGTATAGTGTTTTACTGATTTCCTAGATTGCTTCTGTTGGTGTTTAACGACTTTGAATGGCTGGTCAGCCATCGCACGTTTGGCAATCTGATGAAATGCTTATGGACAGTTCTTTTATTATATATCCCTCTACATCTCGTTCTCTGTACTTGGTACAATATAAAATTTCCAAATGCAAAATATATTGATGCAAATGAACAATTTACTTCAAAGTTATAAAAAAGAAATCTTTTTATAAAAACCTTATTCTAAATTATACTTGAAAGGTATTTTTGAATATTTGAAAAACTTATAAGCTGAAAATTAATTCACCAATTTTCAGGGGACATCACTCTTTTATTATGTAAACAAAGCTACGTCGTCTGCACTGCGGTGGACTTTTATTGCCTGTGTTTAATTACACGTCTAACATATAATCTTTATGAGAGTAATATGTGTTGTGGAAATACGTTATAGCTATGAGTGCCTGATATTTTGATCAATTATTAACCCCCGGAATATATTTAATTTGGCACCCTCCCCCTACAGACTACAGTCACAAGAAATACTATCAAGAAATATCTTAAATCTGGCAAAATATAATTTGAATAATATATGATTAAAAGTTTATTCCCAGTAATTGAGGCAATGATACATGTTATTTGTATCCAATATGCGATCGTTTATTGTTGTCAATGTTGATTCCGAATCCAATGCCTGATCACTGGCCCAGCTTGTAAATAAAAATACACTTGCATTTATAATTGCTTATTGCAAACATGCAGATTACCAGTATTTTTTTTTGATTTTCCTGCAATTAAGTTTTGGGTTGGAAATTTGTTGCTTACCCGTATTTTCTTTGGAGTGATTGGCAACCTTGGTTGTCCGTCTGCATCTAAAGCTACCGGAATAGTCCCGGAACCGGACCGTTTCATTGGCGTATTATATCGACTTGTCAAAATTGTAAACAATCGGATATTTATTTTTTTCAATTTAAAATATGAGCGCCAACGTAGACCACCATGATATTTTATAAAATGAAAGATATATCTGAGAAGAGTAGCTGGTTGAACATTTCAGGATGGTCTACGTTGGCGCTGATGTCGAATATCTTCTCCAAACGTTACAAAACTTGTAGATTTTACAAACTTTGCGTCGTTCATGACCTTTTAAGGTCTCTTTATGCAGAATTTGAGTATATAATTCAACAAAATAAGATTCTACGTTGACGAACAGATACTTCAGGTCATTTTACAAGCAGGATGGGATTCAACATAAAATTTTCTCAAATCGGGAAAAAGGGGGGCCAAATATGCCCCTTATCATACCTTGTCCTTTAGCTTGTACAATGCATCTAGCTAAAATAAACCAATGTGCTGTCAGTATTCCACTATTAATTTATAACTCGATGCTTGAACCCTATATCCGGATTGTCAACCTGTCAATGAGTGTTAAAAATCCTACTGCAAAATTAAAGATACAGTCTTTAAACAAAAATAAAGTTTTGGAATTATACAATGTGACTTTTTTAAAATTCTTAATGAAAACATTTACGTTAAAAAGTCGTCTTTTTGCATTTTTCAAATAATTTTCTTCAGGACCACTAACCTAAAAACATTGTACGTATTTTCATGTAGATATTTCAACATACCTATGACAACCCTATGCTATACGTTGGAATGGGAAGAACGAGCTTCCTAGAATTCCGTGGGAATTTCCGTATTGACAACGACATCGACAGAAGAGTAGGACTGCGAAATTACACATATCAGAATTTTAATTGGACAGATGAGATTGACTTTTTGGAGGACAAACATCAGGTATACAGATATCTTTTAAAAATTTGAATTGGATTGTTTTTCCTCGTACACATTTACCGGTAATGCAGCTGTATACATTATATCTTACAATAATAATCATATATTTTAAACCCATCAAGGTGCGATCAAACTCTCTATCGCCATTTTCAATGGGCGGTAGGAGTTGTCCGGGATTTCTTCATCCCAACCAAGGTACATAACTATATGTCAATGGTCACTTGGCTTTCAAAACTGTCTCCTCTATCAGAGTGGATACGCAGTGGAATACCATAACGAACTATGATTAGAGTGCCTGGGCAGTTATTGTAGCTATTGACTACGCTAGAATCCTCCATTAGAACGATTATGATATCGAATTTTTCCTACATGCATTTTATACGATATGCCAGATCATAAATAAAAGTTAACAACGGCCATCTACAACAAATCTCCAAGTAACGAAAAACCTTAAGATGTGATACAAAAAGAATATTCATTTTCTAAAGCTAACATGTTGTTTCTTTAAACTGTATTTACTAATATTTTTATTTCATTTAACTTATCCGGATTCATTTTGATATGTTGACTTTGAAGACAATTAACCTCGAATTAATGGTGAAATGATATAAGATATCATATTTGATATTATGTAATTTCTTTGGGATTTTTAATGCAATTGTAAATACAGGTTCTTTTTGTCATAAATAGCTGAGATTTCGGATCACGACATACAATGACAGATCAGTAGGGATTGAAATATATAATAATGGTATAGAATACGATTATCTTTGGTTTCGAGTTGTTGCTGAAGCCTCAGAACAAGTTTACGGCCTTGGAGAACAATTCAGTCACCTAAATCTGCGGGAATTTTCTTACACACCAGGGAAGGACCCAGAATTATTCTCAGTCAGTAGGTCACTTGACAGAATTTATCCCATTTGGACAAGAGAACAAGGTAAACATATAAAACTGTAACATCTTTCAAGTTAAACATTTTTAGTCATGGCTTCATATAATGGGGTAAAAGTTAAGATATAATAGAATAATGTCGATAAGAAGAAATTAATTCAGACCAGAAAATTATCTGTTTTGATCATGTTGATGTAGATGTAGTCAGTGTTAAACATTTCACTGCATGATGTGTTTGTCACCAATTACATACTAGATCTCATCATGTGCAGCAGGTAATCCTCTTGGGAATACTCAATGTAAGCTTCGGAGAGAAATATTTTTCAGAAGATGTACTTTTATTTCAGGTGTTGGACGGGACATACATGACCAAGTGACATTTTTCGCCGATAAAATGAGTGGCGCTGGCGGTGATTATCATACGACATACTTTCCCCAAGCAACCTTCATCAGTTCAAGGAACTACCTATTCCATTACGATGGCTATAACTATGTTGAGTTCGATTTCAGTCACAACCAATATCACGAAGTTTTCATAAAAGGAAACTTTTCCAATATTTCAATCATACCCCGAAATAGCATGATGGACCTCGTGAAAAGTTTTGTTACAGACACGCCGTTGGGAAAGATGGCAGCTCTACCTAGCTGGTTACGAGATGGGATTATACTTGGCGTTCAAGGAGGAACAGATATTGTAAATATTTTTGTTAAATATTGAAAAAATACATTTCTACAAATGTCGGTGAACTGCAAACTTATAAAATTGGACCTTTGATTGCATCATTTCCTTATAACTGTATCTTTTGCATTTTAAACTATGCGTAGGATATCAAAATATTCAAATTAGTGTGGGAAAACAGAATCCAATTTATTTATTTCGTATTTTATGCCTCGCTTATGTTAGTATTAGGGATGGCATTATGATCCACAGTCTGTTTTTGTCCTGTGTCAGGTTAAAAGATTTGATTGATTACGGTAGTTTACCGTCATCATCTTGAACCTCACTACACATGTTTCTTAGGAGTTGAACTTTTTAAAATATTTGCCAAATTGGGATTTTGACCCAGATTTTCGATTAAATAAACATAGAAATGTGATATTGGCAGCGAGGAATTGTATACATAATATAGACACAAATTTTAGTTTACATTTTTAAATATTTCTTTCAAATTCTTAGCAATTGACCAACATAATTTTCTGTTGCAGAAAGATTTAACATTTTGGTATTAATATATTTGTATAAGCTTCATCGATGCATTTTTGTACAGATGTTGAAAAGGCTGAAGACTGCACAAGACCAAGGAGTTGCTGTAAATGGGTTGTGGATACAGGACTGGGCTGGAATTAAGAACACTACATTTGGACAGAGATTGTTTTGGAATTGGAAATGGAATCCAAAAAGATATCCGGGTAATTTTGTTGAATAGTAATTCAATGATAATTTTGTTGAATGGTAATTAAATGATATATTAGTACAATTTTCAAGGATCATCATTAAAAGATCCTCTCTCTCTATATAAAGTATACCGAGTTGGATCTGAGGATAAAAAAAATTGCCTAACATTATACATATAATTGTCCATGTGCGTATTTCGTGAATATTGAAATGGCGCATGTAAAGTCGTTCTGTCAGTTAAAATAGTTCTCCGGGATCCAAGAAATATAAAAGCGTATGGCAAATATATCAAATTGATTGATTGATTGTTGTTTGTTAAACGTCCGATGGAAAATATTTCATTTCATGCATTTCAGTACGAGATTGATACACAATAGGAAGGTCCTGTAATAGGATCGACCTGGTGGAAGAGCGGGACATTTGAAATGACACTGAAAAATGAGTGTACATTGAATAGTGACAAAACTTTTGCCTTGCAAGAGACCACCTCCTCCATAAAGGAGTTGTTGCAAGGGTTCTTAACGTACATATGGCATGTTACTCGTCGGATTAAACATCTCCATTCTGACCGCACGTGACTGTGAATTCATGCATCCGGCACAGCAAAACGGACGCCCCGTTTTGGCAAGCGTTTTATTGTCAGTCTGAAGAAGGTCAGGTAGTCAGGATTCTACTTTGTCCAAATTATCTCCCCATTACGCCAGCCAATTTTTACAATCTTAAAAATGGAAGCCATTGTAGGGATGACGCGCTGCCAATTTAGCTCTTGAAAACCGATAAATTTATCCACATTTAAGAATTGAATGCTTCTTTTTGTAAATTCATTGAGGGTGTAAAAGCGTTGACCGTAGTACATTTTGTATGAAGCGCGGAAGTGCTTCATTCTAAAAATGTACGCACGGTCAACGCTTTTACAACCCTATGAAATTACAAAAAGAAGCATTCAATACTTATAATTACATTTTTTAGCTAGGATCATGAAACATAGAAACAGATGTAAACAATTCAAATATACCAATTTGGCTTTTTACCTTCTCTTACAAAGAGTTCCATTTCTTTTGTTTAATTTCAACTGGGTGTCCGCCTGCAAGTGATTACCATATTTATGTACCACAGTCAACCTGTGAATCAAATATGTAAGACAAAATGCAAATATAATATTACAGTTGATATCTAAAGGAATGAAACATGTTTATAGATTCAAGTTAGTTTGTGATTTTCGAATTCAAGGTGCTTTAATCTTTCGTTAATATCATCAATTAGAAATTATGAATTGCAGGTTTGGACCAGAAAATAAAAGATCTGAAAGCTCAAGGAGTGAAGGTGCTTGCTTATATAAACCCAAATTTGAATATCGAAGGTGATTTGTATAAGAATGCATCAAGCCAAGGTTTTGTAGTGAAAAACAGAACTGGAAACCCGTATCTTTTAGATTTTGGCGAATTTTTGTGTGGTATAGTTGATTTGACCAACCCAGATGCATTTAATTGGTACAAAGGTAAGTAGGAGGAAGTATGATTTAGAAATGCTGTGACGGAAGGTGTAAAAATGACAATTTCATGTCCAGAAAATTTCTATATAGACATGGTAAATTAAATTAAAAAAAACTGACAAATACTACATGACAAAACTACTAGTAATCGATCAATCGATTTAGAGACAAAATGTTATCAATACACAACCTTTATAACATTTTCATTGATTCATGTGTAAATCCTTCGTTAAAAGATGGATGCATTTATAATATTAAAATCATTCCCTAGATGACATTTCGTCATGAACATACACAAAAAGGCACATAAAAAGCTGAAACAAAAATATTTTCCTGTTCTATGGTGTAACTATCTCCTAGAACCGGAACACTTACATTAACCAAAGATAACTGAAAATGGAAGTGATTATTTTTAGTTAATGACTGCGTATTTGGCATTTTTGTGGAAATAGTAACCTGTAAGTAGTGTCCAGTTCATGGGTTAAAGTCACCGCAATTTATTTTTCAGTAGGATGTACATTACTAACATTTAGTAGTAAAATGAATTATTTTGAAAAGGAACTGTATAGTTTTAGTGGCACGCTGTTTATTTGTAACACAATTACAAAAAAAGACACTTATAATAAATATAGTTTGGTATAGAACTTTTACAAATTAGGCATCTCAAATGAAGACCATTCTTAAAACTTTTAGTACAAAACAACAAATGCATGACAGCTTTCAAAAGGCAGCCCATTTTACGTTTAGACAAAATCATTATTGGACAATACCCTTAACACCATATTGTGTCACTGTTGTAGGTCAGATTAAAACTAACATGATAAAACTAGGTCTAAGTGGCTGGATGGCAGATTTCGGAGAGTATCTTCCCGTAGATGCTGTAGTATTTGATAAAACTATGTCTATTGAGATGGTACACAATCAGTGGCCAGTATTGTGGGCAATGTTAAATAGGCAAGCAGTAGAGGAGTCGGGCAAACTAGGAGAGATAGTCTTCTGGATGAGAGCTGGTGCTGCACGTGAGTAATATTACAATCAGCTAAGTGGTTTTATGACACCAAAATTTATAACTTTAAAATATTGTATAAATGAACTTGGTATTGGTACACCGTCACTCAGTAGTGCTTGAAAGGTTTTGGTGGGAGAACATATTTAAGGGAGAAATTGAAATTGAATACAATTTATTTCAATGTATTTTCTAAAGTATCAATTTCCATATACATGTGTATTAACATACCACATCTTCTTGTTGTTATATACTGATTAGTTTTGAGAAAATCTCGTAAAACTATCCTCATGAATACAGTCATGGATTGGATCAGACATTTTTGAATCAAATTTTTGGGCTGAACCAGTTTTGACAGCCCGACAAACTCTCAACGTGTACGGCTCACATTTCGGTTCCAATTAACTTTGATCTAGGAATCAACGTTCCAAAATGGTAGCGACTTTGTATTAGAGCATTCAAATGGACTTGCTTGTGTTTTTACTAGTACTTTCTAACTAAAGCGGTGATATTTTACCAACAGCCATGGCTACCCTAGATAGCTTCCTGTATTTGACTCTGCCTTTCAAAGTATGTGGTGTCTGTTATGTCCTTGTTCGAGTTAGTGGTCATCCTGTTTGTAGCTGCACTGCGTATGTTCTTTATTTGTGTGTTTTACTTATACGATATATGGTCTGCATTGGCAAAAGGGCCATGTAAAACTGGCTTTTAACCCTACCATATTTTGTTATTGTACCAAGCCAGGCTATCTGGACCATGTGCTGTTTGTTATTATCTGTCTTTGTTTGTAGGTCTAAATGTATAATTTTTCATGGAGTCTGGTAGCGGTTGTAGGTAGTTAGTGTGATCTGTTGTACTGTAAAATATTTTTAATTCCTGTTATTCTTATTTATGTACTAGCCAAATGTACACCTCTCTTCGAGAGTAGCGACAAGGACTTTGTGTTTCCAAACAGCCTTGGTATGCACCCACATATATATTCATTTATATGTGTTTAATTTTTAACGCAAAGTAATTTGGACGTGGCTGCGTACTTATACACCCAGCACATCCGAACGCGTCTATATTGGCAAGAGTAATTATCATACATAATGCAAAAGTACATATTTACATTTTCTTAAACAATACCATTGGATATTTGGGGTAAGTTTGTACTAGCCACGTAAAGCAAGAAAACTGAAAACAGAAAGCAAAACAATTCTTTTAAAAAAATTTTAATCAAAGAAATCTTGAAAGTAATACTTTTTACTAGACGTTTTTAAATAATATGTCCATAAAATTTAAACTAAAAAGAGAAGTTAAACATTTAAATACACGTCAAAAAATAGATAAAATTGGACTAAGTAAACACTGGGACTATTATACTAAGTTAGTATAATAGTCCCAGGGCGTATTGATAAATAGCGCAGGTAAAGTCTCGTTCTAACGACCGTGATGTTGATATTATTACACTAATTGGTGTAACGGTTTCCAGTCCCGTTAGTATAATAGTCCCAGGTAAACATGACCAGAGAAACACATCTCAGTTCAAAAAGTAACACGTATATGTAGATATAGCAAACTACATTATGTAGTGTGATTGGCTTTGACGTAGACTTATTATTTTTGACATTTCCAGCTTTACCCCAATGGTAATACATGTAACTCTTTTTAAAAACGAAGATTGTCTTTATCTTGCAGAGTTGTAACTAGACTGGAAACCAGTTATTAAAACTGTTTTTATTCTTTAGGTACTTCAAACTTTACCACACTCATGTGGGCTGGAGACCAGAATGTAGACTTCAGTTATGGTGATGGCCTACCGTCCACCATTATAGCTGCTACGTCTATGGGTCTGTCAGGTACAGGTCTAACACATTTCGATATTGGAGGCTACACTACTTTTGGATCATTAGGACTTAGAAGAACAGCTGAGTTGTTACTGAGATCTGCAGAAATGGCGGTGTTTACACCAGTCATGAGAACTCATGAGGGTTTGTGTACAAGATTTTTTATTTGATTTTTAATTTTGATGGCCGGATGCAGCCAATGCACGTTTTTGCAACTGCGAGGATAAAACATGCAACTATACGTGAAAACGGGAATAGGTTTCATTTTTGGATATTCGCCATTAAGCTTCAGACATGCAATGATTATTCCGGAAGCGTCCCGATTATCACGTACTCAATCCGACTTGTATCTTTCGCATGGTATTGCGGCAGTTACATATTGCTGATTATGATTCCCGTTTGAGATCAGGCAGCGCTAGTCGGCGAACAGTGAAAAAGTCTGATTATTGCCATCAATAATCTGGAATGTTCTATCATTGTCTGAACGCAGTCGTATACGTCCATAACGGATCCGGAATGGTCCAGTGAGGTCGACCAAGCACTCCCGACAGTTAGGTTCTTGAAACTCAGACGATTTCGGATTTCAATCGTACCTATTTTTCAAAATCTAAGCAAGGTTGTTCTAATAGGACTTTGGTAGAAAGAGTCCAACAGCACCCATTTTCTTCATGTCGTAGTAACGATCTCAAATAAATATTTAGGTCGGTCTAATGGGACTTGCGTATCCAGCTTTTTGCGGTAATTATCTCAACAACAAATCAAGATATGCCGAATGGGATTTAGGTAGAGAGAGAGTCCACTAAAGCAGCCGCATCAACCGTGTGGTAGTAATTATCCCAAATACGATTCAAGGTAGGTCTGATGGGCATCGGTTGGAGATAGTCCACTAGTGGCCGTATCCCGGGGCACCGTGCGGTAGTAATTATTTCAAAGACATTGTACATAACTCATAGTCATAGAGAAGCTTTTCTAGATCTTTCAAAAATATATGAAAGTTGAATGAAACTTTTCAGCAGTTTTAACCTATCTCTTTTGTTTTTCTATAGGCAATCAACCGGACTTCAATGTACAGGCTTACTCCAATCAATACATCCTTTTACAGTTTGCCAGGCTAGTCCAGATTTATAAAATGTTAGGAAATTACACTAACTCTGTCATACAGATCTGTGTTAGGGATGGAATTCCCGCACAAAGACCTCTAGTTCTTCACTATCAAAATGATCCATTGGCCTTAAACGCTAAATATCAGTACATGTACGGTTCCGATTTATTAATAGCACCAGTTATACAGGCTAATGTTACATCACAGAAAGTTTATCTTCCTCAGGGTGAATGGGTATTTTTATGGAATAATTCCTTGCAAACTGCAGGAAATAAATATATAATGGTACCTGCTCCTATAGGACAACCACCGGTGTTTTACCAGAAAACATCACCATATTCAGCAACATTCAAGGCCATTTCTAAAATACCACTGGTACCGCCACCACCAACAACCAACCAACCATCTACAAAGACCCCAGGTAGTAGTAACTCTGGTGCTCTGACTGCAACTAATATTGTTCTTCTGTTACTAACACTGTATGCACAGCTTATGTATAACTTTTGATTTTTCTGTTTTCAAATATTTTCATTTATTTTCAGCTATTTTTGGGGGCAAAATGTATACTAGTATTCATTATTTTCAGTTATTGTTATGGGCTAAATTTGTTATGTTTGTCTTCGTCTTAATCCCAAATAAACTTTGCACTACTACAAAATTATCAGTATTCCGAATCTATTTGTTTTACTTTTTAAAACTTTATATTTAGAAATAAAATATATTTTCGGAAGGATATAGATATTTTTAAATAGACGTGGGACAGACTGCATGTAACAAACACGTTCTAAGAGGTTATATTGAGAAAGACATTCAAAATAAGTTGACATACATGCATTGTTTATATACAACAGTTGTATGATGAACTTTTTAGTTGATACATTGTACAATTAAAGCAAGTTCTATTATGACTTTTAAAAATCTACCAAATGTGTCTGTATTGAATATTTTATTTTCCTTAAAATTTTTGATGAAAATTATGCTACTTACCGGTAAATTTTTAATCAGTATTCATTTATGCATACAAGTTAATCATGGTATCATATTATTACAGCTCTATTAGGAATTTCTTGGAGTTCGGTATTTTTGTTATACTTTTTAGAGGTTGTCATTCATCATTTCTAAAATACGTCAATAATAATAATAATAATAATAATAATAATAATATTTATTTCAAGAGGGTATGCTCAATTAGTACAAACACTATTCTCCCTTGAAGCCCTCACACTCCACTCACAATGCATCACACAATTTCTTCATAACAAAGATAAACTTAAGAAAACATAATCAAAATTGATACATAATCATTTAAATAATTCCTGGATTTTCAAGTAAAAACGTAAAGCAGTTTGTTTTAAAAGTATGTTTGTTCTTGCCTTTGGTATATTAAGTAATTGGGTAGTATTTGATCTAAGTTGCATTCCATTTTTATTTGTAACATAGGAGATTTTGTTAGACAAATATTCTGGGACAGATCCATATAAACATTTATGAACATATAAGGCCTTGTGGTAAATTACACGATCAGTAAATCGAAGCCATGATAACTTTTTAAACATTGTATTAGATGGGGTATCATAAGGAAGTTCAAGAATAATTCTAGCTGCTCGTTTTTGAAGTTTATCTAATCTATTTGTATTTTGGTCACTGGTGTTTCCCCAAATTGTACAACAGTAATCCAAAATAGGGAGAATATAACCATTAAAGTATAACTTTCGTGTTTCCATGGGGAGGGATTTCTTTATCCTAGACAAAAGATTTAGCCTGGTACTGATTTTTGTGCACGAAGTGTCAATTTGGGCTGTCCACTCAAGATTTTCATCAATAAAAACCCCTAGGAGCTTTTCGCCATTAACATCTCTAATGTGGGAATTACCAACAGTCAAATTAAGAACATGGTCTGTTTTTGCTAGTTTCTGTCTAGAACCAATAACCATAGATGTAGTTTTTGTTGGATTTATATACATCTTATTTCCCTTGCACCATTCTTCAATTCTGTCTAAATCATTTGTAATGCTGTCCTGGATGGTATTGAGACTACGACCTGTGCAGTGAATGGTAGTATCATCTGCATAGAGGTCTGCTTGAGATGAGGTTATATGAAGGGGCAAATCATTAATGAACAATAAAAATAAAAGGGGGCCTAATATGGAGCCCTGAGGTACTCCAGATTTTATTTCTAGTGCCCTTGACTTGATTGTCCCATTTTCAACTTGTTGGAATCTATGAGATAGATATGATTTAAACCAGTTACATGATAAATTTGAAATTTTGTAGCACTGCAGTTTTTGAAGAAGGATAATGTGATCTACCAGATCAAATGCTTTTTTAAAATCTAGGAAGATAATACCTATAATTTCTCCATCATCAATGGCTTTCAACCACTGATCAATAAGTTTTAGTAAAGCAGTGTGACAAGAGTGGTGGCTTCTAAATCCAGACTGACTTGCATGAAGGAGCTTATATTTTAATAGGTATCGGTATAGGTGTTTGCAGACATGCTTTTCAAAAATCTTTGAAAGAGTAGGCAAAATAGATATTGGTCTATAGTTGTCGACAGTATCTTTAGGACACTTTTTATGACTTGGCATGACACGGGCATTTTTAAGCTCAGAAGGAAATATACCAGCAGTGATACTCCTATTTATAATACAAGCTATTGACGGTGAAATAACTTCTGATGATAGTTTAAGTATGCGAGGACTGATCTGATCAATGCCTGTAGCTTTTGCAACATTTAAATTGCTAAGGCAGTCCTTAACTTCTGCAACTGTAATCAAGGGATGTAAAACCAAGTATCTTGAGGTACTTTTGCTGCTACCTCCTCATAAATCTTATTACTATCAAATTTGTATGATTTAGATGTTGATAGGCTATCTTTCGGGGCAATATTTATAAAATGTTTGTTAAAAGCATAAACTATATGCTGAGTTTCTGTGATAACACCATTGTGTATCTTAAGTTGTGATGGAAAAGGAGAACTTTTAGTTTGGTTGAGCCCCTTGACATATTTCCATAATTCTTTTGGATTTTTAGCCTGTTCAATAGATGTTTTATAAAAATTGTTTTTTGCATCATCTATAAGTGATGTGCGTTTGTTCCTCCAGAACCTGTATCTGTCTAGATCATGCTTTTTATGGTAATAATCCCTGTTTTGTCTGGCAGTTAATATTTCAGGGGTTAACCATTCTGGCCTTTGAACATTTTTGACTCGCTTTGTTTTTGTTGGAGCATGCTTATTTAAAACATTATTGAAAAGAGAATACCAGATATTTAAAGCTTTGTCTGTGTCATGTTCTTCTTTCACAGTTTTAAATGGTTTATATTGAAGTTCTTTTATAAAATTCTCTTCATTAAACTTTTTAAAACATCTATAAGTTATGATCTTGTGGCTAGAATCAGGTACTTCTTTAACATTTGTTTTTCTTGTAAGGCATACTGGGTAATGGTCACTTAATGCCAAATAAGGTACATGTGTTTCAATTATATTATCGGTCTTATTTGTATATATATGGTCAATGATCTTTTTACTTTTATCTGTTACTCTTGTTGGATTATCAATAAATTGTGTAAGACCATAGCACTATCATATGGGACCATTTGTTGTTACTACATCCTTGAGCATAGTCAATATTTATATCACCCATAATAATAATTTCTAAATCTAAGCTTGATGCTTTACTTATTTCTAATTCAAAAGCATCTATCCAGTCTACTTTCATATCAGGTGGTCTGTAAACTGAACACAAAAGAATAGGTTTTGTGGATGGAAAATTGATCTGAAGCCAAATTGATTCAACATTACCAATCTCTAAGTCTTCTCTCCTTTCATATGCCATTAAGTTGTTTATATAAACTAATACCCCACCCCCCTGTTTTGTCTTGAGTAGGACGATATGATAGAGACAAAATATCTTTCATTTGAATTGTTTAATCAGCAAGCTTACGTGTTTTAATATTACACATGAAAAGATTTCTTATTTTTTTTAATAGAATTTAAGACATTTCGTCTGTAATTATGACCAAACTTCCGAGCCTTTAGTAAAGACACTGGGCATCACAGAGCACAATAGTGTTCGGTTGGAATGTCGTATTACGCATGCTAGATACTTAAAACACTGTAAAATAGTTCCATATTGGTACTCCGGAACGGTCAGCAATTCCTTTTCTACTAGTGACTTCCGTGGCCTCACAAAGTAACGGATCGGTAATGTTTCTTGTCCAATTAATTTCTGGAACATGTAAATTATGTGAACCTTATTCATGATCAAATGAGAGAGTTTGAATTGAACTTTGTTCATGCCATTACATATGTAGCAGCAACACACAACTTGAAAATAAAATATCGCAAATTACAATACAAAAATAAACTTAACTAAAGCCATGTGCTAAGGAAGGGTTTTCAGTTTCTTCTCCATTTCTACTATACAAGGAAGGGATAACTTATACAAAAAAATACTGGATCTTTTTTAGAAATGGACAGAATTTCCATCTATTCCTAGGAAAATCCATAAATATTTTACGGCGGCTTAGCAAACTATTTATTTTTTTCCATTTCTGTGATGAGAGATTGCTTTACAGTATGAATAATTATCTTTCTGTTCGGGATATCTATAGTATTCGAAGAAGCACTATTTCAGACAAACTATTGTTCAAACGTATCTGCTTTGTAAAATCAATCAATGTAAAATACTTGATAAACATACATATTGTATTTGCTATTTAGTAGGTTCAAATTGCTTAGCTTTTTATTTCTTCTTATTCTATTCATTACTAAAGCAGCAAAATATATATAGTCTGACATTAAGAATATAAACATGCTTAATGTATTCACATTTTATTTCAGGCTTTGTAATTATGTATATTTATGTAAAATGATGCGCACATAATTATTTCATGTTTTAGTTTTTTGCAGAAAAAAATTTTGATCTCTGCGTGATATCTTTTGAATGATAAGTGCAATCTTTATTTGATTTTATTTTTTAGGGGGGTTAAATAAGAAATCGTTTAAAAATCGTTGTTATATTTTGTCACTAGATTTTAAAGCCAAGACAATAATCAGCTAAAATCATGATTGAAAATAAACTGAAAATAATATGAAATATTTTGGTAACTCAGAGTCTTACTCAGATATCTTTCGATTGCATCCAACATTCCCCTAGGAAAGAAGATGCGTCTTAGTTTAAAGGTCACTGTTTCTTAGTCATAGAAATTATAAACAAATACATGTAAAGTGTACATGTCGGAAATGTTCAGACCAAACCTTGTAAGCAGCAGAACTAACATATATCGATGCAAGCAACCTGTCAATATCTGAAACATGGACACATAGCCTTTGGCAGTATGTGTCACATAACTTATAGTTATCATATTATTATTGGGTAAAATTACACACTGGTGTGATTTCAAGATAAAACCTCATATTTACGTCTTAATTTAGTATTTTAACTGGGTGAATCCGTAACGTGACAACCTGGATTAAGGTTAGAAGCTTGTCCAGAATTTTTCTTTCAGGGGTGGTGGTTCAACTTAGGGCCTAAATAATATAGCAAATGCCTAAATTTTAAACCACTTAGGGCCTAAATAATATAGCAAATGCCTAAATTTTAAAGTATAGATATTACTTTTTATATAGGCTCTCATACTCATTTCCTCAATTTTTTTTTAATCCGGTAGTTTCCACGAGATAGACTTCAATATATTTTGGGAGTCCAAATATACCAATTGTGCAAATAAAGGTTAGATTTTATCATTCCAATTACAATCATTAGTCTATGAATTGTAAAGTTTGATATAGGTAACACCCACGGTATTTATCCAATTTTTTATTTATGTGAACTTGAATATAATTATTTCTCGGTCCATTCAATTATTCAAACTGCATTTTCAGTTTGATGATTTCGTATTTGCTTTAGCAAGATTCAGTTTAAAATCAAACTACACATTTTTTTTTATATTTTACAACTTCATCTTGTAATACTGATTAGTGAGCTTTTCTAATTTATCATTATTTTTGTATGATATATAGTACATGTAAGCAAATAGCTAGAGATTTGACTAGCATAAACAAATTATAAAAATCCATTCAATATAAAAATTTTACTGTTGAATGTGTTTTTTAACCTTAATACACATCAGTACATTTTGCTTACAGTTAACATCCTTAGAATATAACTATTTGTAGGATTGTTTGATTTTAAGACTGCCAGAGAGTGTCAAGCAGATAAAAGATCCTGTGCTTCTTTACCATGAACAGTTAGTGTGGATATCATATAAATAGTTGTACTTATATAATGTGTCGCCATCAATATGTTCAGTTGGTGTTAAAAAGTCATTTTTGTTAACAAGTATACAGTTAACAAAAAACAAAAAAAAATGGCTTTCCAAGTTTGTATAGATGATTTTTATATTTTAATATGTCCTGTTAAAATAATTGGAAAGAAAATTTTATTTTACACATGAGGTAGAACTGTTTGTTAGTTTAAGGATAGATGTTTTCCCTTTCACTGGGGAAAGTGGCAACACGTAACTTTGTGCCTTTGTTCTTGTCTATAACAAATAAAGGTATAATGTATGTTGTGTATTAATATGCCAGTAACAAAGGATGCTGCCGTAAGTCTCTGCACTTGGTCTCAATTTCAAATAGTATTGTTTTTTTATTTAGTTGTTTGGTATTTTTTTTAGTACCAATATAAATTGAAACAGGTCTATAAGATTTAGTTTTCTTATCTACCATTCCAACCTCCAAGATGATCAATCATTGGTTTTCATGACTGATGTTTGTCTTTTCGTCTATTTTCTTTTGACCTTATATTGTCTGTCTTTGACAACTTTTTGGTTTTTGATCCCTTCAAACTAAAGCAAATATTCAGAAAACATAAATTTTGCACAAATAGCCATCATAGTAAAATCAATAGTTTCTCAGATTTTTAGGATATTGGTTTGAGCAAGTTTAAGTTTTCATTCAAATACCATTTGGACGGAATTCCAGATAGACAAATGTTCAAAATAGCAGCAATTTTGTTTCTCCCATTTTTTCGTGTCTCCTTATTTGAGATCAATTTGTGTTTCAATAATTTATGAAATATATGAGAGAAGAATAAAGTAAAAGCAGTGTATCTACCAAGTCAGATTCCAGTAACAAAAATAATAAACACACATGTGCTTTACTTTTTTTATAATTTCAACAACATATACAATAACAAAATTTAGCAAGTTTCATCCTGATTGTGTAAGTACAGTTAAAGTCATACAGACTAATTTTTGTAGTTTTAAGGACATCTTTCACAGTAATATAGCCAATAAAAATGTATGCATCATTAATTTATGAAGCTAATATAGAAGTTTATTTTCCATTCTTTTGTCTCAAAATTTTCTATGATCATCAAAAATGTTTTCAAGCATATAAAGGAATAGAAAATCTCACTCTTATGCTCACAGAAAAGTAAATAATGACCTTCCATTATTCATCATCTTTGACCCATGCTCAACAGAGACAGCCATCTTGGATGGAATTAACATGTTCCAGTGGTGGATAAATTTTGAAAGTAAACTATATTCCATTCTCAATTTTATCTAGTCCTGTAAAACTGGTATAATTATTCATTTTTAGCTAGTTGAAATTTCTGTTTATATCTAAGTTAGTCAAGTACTTCTCAAATGTCTATGGATGGCAGATGCCAAGTGATGGCAACAGCTCACATTGGTCCTATGAGTAAAACTGACAAAAATTGATACTCAAACTTCTAAAGCATACTATCATTACCTACAGTTTCATGAAACACTTAATAACAAAAACAAGCAACTTACTATAATATACTATGTAAATACTTGTTTTACAAATTCATCACTAGATATGACCACAAACATTACTTAGTAACTATTTTAACAAATTCTTGATATCCCTGGCAATTGTACACCATACCCTTGGCAACCACATACCATACCCTGGCAACCACACACCACAACCTTGGCAACAACACACCATACAACTGAATTGTTATTCCAAATGGAACACTTAAAGCACTTTGTCAAATCCTGCTGTTCATGGTCCTTGATTGAAACAAAACAATTATCTCAAAATAGCTATTTTTCACCAATTCAAATGTTCCTCTTGTAAAATGTTTACAGTATAAAATAATTGGCTGATAGGTTATATTTTGAAGAACTCTGTTGAGCCATTGTAAATACGCAATTGTGGCTCTGAGGTCAGTTTTAATACAGCAGGATATGACTGTGCACATTACATGTTGACTGTCTAACAGTGTGAACCATAATTGAAAAAACCTGACTGTCTAATAAGACAAAAATAATCAATATATATAATTTGCAGTCATAATCGTAGAAAAAAATAAAATAGTATCATACAAATTATTCAATAATTTGCTACATGCAACAAATAGTTCAGCAGTAATCACAACACTTATAAAAAAGCACTGACTAAGCTAAATATTGCTACAGTCATTTTGGCACTAGTATATCACAGCAATCTACAGAGATATGAGTATGTATAAGAATACAAAAATTTGGTGTACACTTATAATATCTACCAGTATCATATTTCTCTACATTTATATTTTTTCTACTGGTCAGACTATCTTGTAAAAATATTTGATCAAATAATATCAAAATTTCTAAGAATTATCAACATTATACGCTCAACAAAAAATTATCACCATAATCCTCCAAAGGACATAGAAAGATCCATTAATAAACTAGAGGCTCCCAAAAGACTGAATTACAGTTAAAAAATAAATGTAGAATGTGTCCATGGGACACAGATGATGCCCACGCTTGCATATAACATTATAAAGGGACATAAATAGAGAATTGTAAAAGTGGCGCCACCCAAACTTGAACTTGATCTGTGTTTTATATTAATAAGCATTGTGTATAAGTTTCATAACATTTGGTTGAGGCAAACTTCAGTTAAAGAACGGAAACGTAAAATTTCAGCAATTTATCCATTTGTAAAGGGACATAACTATAGAACGGTAAAAGTGATGCCACCCAAGTACGAACTTGATTTGTGTTTTGTGGTAATAAGCATTGTGTATAAGTTTCATAACATTTGGTTGAGGCAAACTAAAGTAAGAGAATGGAAACTAATTTTGGGACATACGGACAAGGGTAACACTTAATGCTCCCTCCACTGCGGCTGGGGCATAAAAACACAGTACAGATTGTAAATGCTAAGGCATTCTAGGAGAGAACTAGAATTATTTTATTGCCTAAAACCCTAAATTTTCAAAAAATATTATAGATGTCATAACAGAAAACTAGCAAACAGTAATCACTTCAAAATCAAAGGACAGAAAAGTCTCGTCACATAATTTCTGCTGACATTTCATTATACAATGTACAAGAAACCCTGTTGTCAAATTTTTTTGGCAGTTTAACAAATATATATTTATCTATTACCGGTAATCCATCCACATACTGACATTCTACACATCTTTGCATATCGTTATTAATAAAAGAAGTTTAATAAAATAAAAATTTTGTTTGTTTTACATCCACTGACATGTATTTCAAGCATTATCAGGATGACGAAAAAGCTTTACAACACTTAAAAGGTAACCACTGAACTATGGTTGTGACCAATGTTACGGCATTCATTATAGAATCTCCTTTGATAATAACAATCAGAGTTTAGGCCAAATTACATGCACCTTAAACATGAAAACTGATCTGATGACTGGGGAGCTGTAAAACCAAACAAACTTAAAATGATAGCCAAAATATGTCTGAATGAGGTATATAGACCATAGAATTCACAAAAGTTACAAAAATTTATCAGCTGAGAATAAAAATGTAAAAAGGACCAGTTGCAATGCCTGAACACTGACTACTGAGAAGAAGAAACCTTCAAAATCAACAGTTCCCTAGCAATGTTTGCCCAATCATTTCCTGTAGTTCAGTAGTTACCCTTAGGGTCTAACAGTCCACAATCAATGGTTGCCTTAACAATAATCACTCGGAAGGTGATATCCTTGAGGACTTAAATTGTCCACCAGCAATTGTATCTACCAGGTTGTAGCAGATCAAGATTAAACCTACTTCATTAACAATTATCTGAATATGTCAGATCCTTCTGAACAGACAACCATTTCATGATTGTCATATTTTAATGCATCATGTTTTAATGTAAATGGTACATATCGTCAGTTGCTTCTTAAATTCCAAACACAATTCAAAATCATAGTCGAGAAAGAATATTATCCATCATTATCCATCAAATGGATGTTTAAAAGAGACAACACTGATCATAGCAAAACAAACCTATGAAATTGCCTTTCATATCTTCCTTTGGTTTGGCAAGTATGGGAAAATTTAGAAAAGTAAAATTAACAGAATGCAAAATTATGTAATAAAAAAAAAAAAAATAACTCAATTTAAAGTTTTCATGAAAATAAATGAATATACACTGTTTGTATAGATGTCAAAAACTTTTAAATTTCACATCCATAGGATGAAATGTAGTAGCTGAGCTAGTCTTGTAATCTCATTCTCCAGGAAAGTACAATCTTAACACACATCTTTCCAATCTGTACTGTTCAACAGAGTGTGGTTTTACTGTCATCCTACACAATACATGATTACTATAATCTATAAATAGTACATCTATTTTAAAATAGTTCTTAAGAGATCCATCAAAGTTGACACAAAGAGAGATAACTCTTCTAGTAACTAAAGGGAGTGTACTCAACACAGTAAGATACTTTCTTAGCTTTGAGAGCTAGTTCAGTATGTTGTTGGTACACCTTCATCCAAAGACCAGGAAATCGTTCTGCCAATAGTTGTTCCTCCAGTGGAGAGGGTAAAGGTAAGTTTGTCTTTTCCTTAGGACGAGATACCAGAATATATCGTCTGTAAACAAATAAAATTCATTATACACAAGAAAAACTTATAAATTGAACATTGGAGTGTAAAGTGGAGGTCAAGGTCATAGTGAATATATCAGAGATGGTCTTGTACACCACAAACTTTGATCACCTACAATGAATAAATAATCTAAGAGACTTGTCTCATCCTTACCTTAAAACTGTAAATAAGGGCATGAAAACGTGACAGTTTTGTCAAAATAACTGGCTGCCAAGATCACATCATAAGTAACTTAACAAACGTGGGTTGAAATAATTGAAAAAGGAAATGGGAAACAAAGCATATGCTTCTGTTAATCTTGGCTGGTCACTTGCTGTATAATGAGTGGTAAAAGGGACAAGTTGCTAGAATAGGTCACTATACTTCATGCTTCATAATATATGGTAAGGTTGAAAAATTAGGATTAAATATGCATTAAAACCACAGTTATAAATGCATCAGATATTTTAATAAACAGCTGCGCCATGAGCGCATGATAAACCCGTCGTCTTGTGTGTGAATTTTTATGCAATAATCATAAACAGTTTCTGACATATGGCGCGACATGCAAAACCCCCCCCTTTTTTTTTACAAACAACTCAATATCTCTAAAATAAAATTTTGAATCAAAACCAAAAAGTATACAGATCTTGAGATTAATATAACTAAGAAGTGTGTAAAATTTTAAGCAATAATCATAAATCGTTTTTGAGATACAGCGCGACATGTGAAACCCCCCCTTTTAAAAAAAAAAAAATCAATATCTCTAAAATAAAATTTTGAATCAAAACCAAAAAGTATACAGATCTTTAGAATAATATACATGTAACTAAGAAGTGTGTAAAATTTTAAGCAATAATCATAAATCGTTTTTGAGATACGGCGCGACATGTGAAAAACCCCTCCCCCTTTTTTTACAAAATACTCAATAACTCAAAAGTAAATTTTGAATCATCATCAAAAAGTATACAAAAAAAACACACACCTGTTTTAGTTACTAAGTCCTGTAACTTAAAAAATTTTAATCTTATTTTCACCAAAAAGTATACAGATCTTTGACCATCATAAGAAACAACTATGTTAAGTTTCATGAAATTTGGATAAGTCATTCTCAAGTTACTGTGGGATATGTTTACGCGGGACAGACAGACGGACAGACGACATTTGTATACCATAATATGTCCCGTCAAAATTTTGACGGGCGTATAAAAATCTCTCTTTTTACTCTTTATGAAATAGCTTAATATAGCTTTAGGTCTAAATATGAGTAAAAGAATGGCCTAAGTTACTTGTTTTCAATTGTTAATTTTTATTTTGTTTTATCAATATATATAAAGACATACAAATTGATATTCTAAATTGTAAACTTACTGGCATTTACTTGGTATAGATTTAACCGTTGTCGGACGAACTGCATCTGGATTTCTGGGATCAAACATCCGTATATCTGGTTGTGGTTCTGGGCTTAGTACTCTACTGGGAGGTCTGGATACTTCTGGAGTTTTCTTTATTTTATACCTGGGTAAGAAATGATTTGTTATTTCATTTTTCACAACTTATTTTAATTGCTTGAGTGGAGATTACAAAAATAATTAAAAAGTAAAGTTTAGTTTTTTGCCTAGATAACACTGAAAAAAATATATCAATTTTACAAACTTTGTGTTATCTACAAATCATAAAACCTTAGATATAAACTATGATGGTGTGATATGTAACAAACTCAGAAAAGCATTAAAAGTATGTGAAATTGTACCACTTTTCCTTCAATGGTCACCTACTCTCTAAAATATGGTTATTCTAATGGTCCTGTAAAATTAATGAACTTTGACATAAACTTAAAGTTAAGCATTTAAGTATAAAAAGTAGGTCAAACAAGAAGATCAAGTCATCAGTACCCACTGTGAAAAGCAAACATGAGTTATTGTACGATATTGAAAGATTATCTAATTTTTTTATGATCATATGCCAATAACTCTATAAAGATAAATCTCAATATTAAATCAAAGGGGAATTCATTTCTATACTCTGAACAAAAGCATATAAAAATTTGCAAAGGAAAAAACTTATTTTTCTACACAGATTGATGGAAAGGACCACAATAACTCCATTAATTTAATCTAAAGTTAAAACCAAGCCATGAATGACTCATCATTAAAGGTATATTTTTTATGAAGAAAAAAAGGAAATATAAACTGTTATCACAGAGATATGTCTCGCCTTTTTGTAATTTTGATAATGCAAATGTTGAAATTAAAATAGCAATACTTTAACATGTAAGTTATGCAAATATTCAAAGTCCATGAACCATGACTGAAGGTACATGGCTAAACAATCTCCATGGAATGAGATGTGCCAATGCTAATACAACTGCATACCAAATACCATTGACTTATTATAAGTCGTTCCCTTTAAACAAACCTAAACACAAACATTAACTTGTAAACTATGTAAAAGTTTCAAAGTCAATGAACCATGATCAGCTGTGGGGCTAGATAATCTCCATGGAAACGATACTTGCAAATGCCAATACATTTGCATACCAAATATCATTGACTTAACATTAGCAGTTCATCTTAAACTAATCTAATCACAAACTAATACATGTAAACTAAGCAAAAGTTTCAAAGTCAATAGACCATGACTGAGGGGACGGGGCCAAATATTCTCCATGGAAATGAGATGTGCTAATGCTTATACAACTGAACACCAATTAACATTGGCCTACCACTAATGGTTCCCTTGAACTGACCTAATCACAAACTAATACATGTTAACTTAGCAAAATTTCAAAGTCTATAGACCATGACTAAGGGGGCGGAGCCAATTGATCTCCATGGAAATGAGATATGCCAATGCTAATACAACTGCATACCAAATATCATTGACCTACCACTAGTGGTTCCCCATAAATTGACCTAATCACAAACTAATACATGTAAACTATTAAAAGTTTCAAAGTCAATAGACCTTGACTGAGGGGGCGGGGCCAAATATTCTCCATGGTAATGAGATGTGCCAATGCTAATACAACTGCATACCAAATATCATTGACCTACCACTAGTGGTTCACCATGAACTAGACCTAATCACAAACTAATACATTGTTGAAGCCGCCGCCGGAAACAGCATACCTATGTCTCGCTTTTTTACTCCGTCAAGGCGAGACAAAAATTAAAATTACCTACTAATATAAATTTCTGTGAAATTTTTTTCTGAATAAAAAGTTTCAAGGAACAAACTTAACTCTGACAATAACAGTTATTATGTTTTATATATACAAACCTAAAAGGCTTTTCTGCTTTCAACTCTTTCTTATCAAATTGTTGTAAAGCTGCGTAGGCTGTTTGTGGTCTTTTTCTGACTGTCACGGTTGGCTGACCAGTGTTCAGTGACATATGGGAGGTATTGGCTCTCTGCATTTGACCCAGGATATAAGAATCGGACTTTGTACTTGTACCAGCAACTGAAGATATAAAATTACTAAAATCAAAAGGCAGACAGTAGAATACAGAAATATGTCATTGCCAAACTAACAAAACAAATCCTATTGACCATGTAGTGTGGACCTATTCTATAAAGACATCTTACTTCTCAGTTTGTCATTGCCAAACTAACAAAACAAATCCTATTGACCATGTAGTGTGGACCTATTCTATAAAGACATCTTACTTCTAAGTTTGTCATTGCCAAACTAACAAAACAAATCCTACTGACCATGTAGTGTGGACCTATTCTATAAAGACATCTTACTTCTAAGTTTGTCATTGCCAAACTAACAAAACAAATCCTACTGACCATGTAGTGTGGACCTATTCTATAAAGACATCTTACTTCTAAGTTTGTCATTGCCAAACTAACAAAACAAATCCTACTGACCATGTAGTGTGGACCTATTCTATAAAGACATCTTACTTCTCAGTTTGTCATTGCCAAACTAACAAAACAAATCCTACTGACCATGTAGTGTGGACCTATTCTATAAAGACATCTTACTTCTCAGTTTGTCATTGCCAAACTAACAAAACAAATCCTATTGACCATGTAGTGTGGACCTATTCTATTAAGACATCTTACTTCGAAGTTTGTCATTGCCAAACTAACAAAATAAATCCTATTGACCATGTAGTGTGGACCTATTCTATAAAGACATCTTACTTCTAAGTTTGTCATTGCCAAACTAACAAAACAAATCCTACTGACCATGTAGTGTGGACCTATTCTATAAAGACATCTTACTTCTAAGTTTGTCATTGCCAAACTAACAAAACAAATCCTATTGACCATGTAGTGTGGACCTATTCTATAAAGACATCTTACTTCTAAGTTTGTCATTGCCAAACTAACAAAACAAATCCTACTGACCATGTAGTGTGGACCTATTCTATAAAGACATCTTACTTCTAAGTTTGTCATTGCCAAACTAACAAAACAAATCCTATTGACCATATAGTGTGGACCTATTTTATAAAGACATCTTACTTCTAAGTTTGTCATTGCCAAACTAACAAAACAAATCCTACTGACCATGTAGTGTGGACCTATTCTATAAAGACATCTTACTTCTCAGTTTGTCATTGCCAAACTAACAAAACAAATCCTACTGACCATGTAGTGTGGACCTATTCTATAAAGACATCTTACTTCTCAGTTTGTCATTGCCAAACTAACAAAACAAATCCTACTGACCATGTAGTGTGGACCTATTCTATAAAGACATCTTACTTCTCAGTTTGTCATTGCCAAACTAACAAAACAAATCCTACTGACCATGTAGTGTGGACCTATTCTATAAAGACATCTTACTTCTCAGTTTGTCATTGCCAAACTAACAAAACAAATCCTACTGACCATGTAGTGTGGACCTATTCTATAAAGACATCTTACTTCTAAGTTTGTCATTGCCAAACTAACAAAACAAATCCTATTGACCATGTAGTGTGGACCTATTCTATAATGACATCTTACTTCTAAGCTTGTCATTGCCAAACTAACAAAACAAATCCTATTGACCATGTAGTGTGGACCTATTCTATTAAGACATCTTACTTCTCAGTTTGTCATTGCCAAACTAACAAAACAAATCCTATTGACCATGTAGTGTGGACCTATTTTATAAAGACATCTTACTTCTCAGTTTGTCATTGCCAAACTAACAAAACAAATCCTATTGACCATGTAGTGTGGACCTATTCTATAAAGACATCTGACTTCTCAGTTTACAACATGTTATATCTCAATGACTGAACCATACTTTGAAAGATCAATCAACCATCTGGAAATTGGTAATTTCAAGTTGGTTCTGTCCCAAAACATGATTTTATAAAAGACAAGTACCTGAATAATTATCAAAAGTTCTCTTTGTAAAGAGTTTTCTTTTCTCATTCAGTTTATCTTCCCAGTCTTGTCTTTTCTTTAGGGCACTTCTAGTTCGTAGTTCTTTCTGCATTCTTAGCAATAAATGCCTGTTAACAGAAAAATTCAGATATCATTTCAAAAACTTTCAAAACATTATCTAGTTCATGTCACATCTAAAATTTAAACTATCTTCAAGCATTGTGTGCTCATTTTTTTTTAAATTCTTGGTGAAATTCAGATATCTTTAAGATGATTCAACTTAGTTCTTGATTTATAATTTTTAATCAATTTCTGCTTAAAATAATCTTTCTGGAATATACAAAAATACAGGGTTATCTACTTAGTTTGATTGTAGCTGAAGTTAAGTGGTTGCTACTCAACAGTAGTCCACATAAAATAACGATATTTGTTCTGAAAATTAACATATTAAGCAAAGTTTTGAGATGTCAAATAAGTATTTTCCTAATAACGCTGCTGACAGGACAATGCCATAGAAAACATTTTAACAGCCGGAAAAAAACAACAAAAATGTAATCATGCTTCCACATAATAGTAAAACAGAAAGTACATTCTGCTGTTTGTATGAGAAGGAAAAGACTTCAAGATTAAACAGCACTCTTCTTTCACAGAAGAGAAAACAAGAAAATGAAAATAAAATATTCTGTCTCCATTTTGACAACATCATTTGATTACATATTCTCACCCAAACCCAATCTTATCACTAAACTCTAGCTCAATCTAACCTAAATATCAACTGTAAGTTAAAGACAATATAAATTACCTTTCAATTTCCCGGTCTGGCCAGTTCTCATCAAACATTAAACCATTATTTCTATGTAAAAGTTTGTCTTTAGTCACGGTATGTGGTGTTCTGCAATTATAAAAGCAAAAATGATCATTATATAATTTAACCAATAAAACTTTCAATAACCATACCATACCATACCAGTATAAGTAATTTAAAAAACTTATGGTAAAAATAGTGTTGGCATGTTTAACCATTCTGAGGTTTAACTTAAGAGAGCTTAGTTCCAAAATACTGCTAAAGAAATTCAATTATCAAGCTGGATTTATTTGTAAGAGGTTATGAATAATTTTATTTCTACTTCTCATTATCACTTATCACTGCAGTAACTAGTACAAAAGAAAGAATAACTTATACCAAAGCATGACCATTCTATGTCTACTTCTCATTATCACTCATCACTGCAGTAACTAGTACAAAAGAGAGAATAACTTATACCAAAGCATGACCATTCTATTTCTACTTCTCATTATCACTCATCACTGCAGTAACTAGTACAAAAGAGAGAATAACTTATACCAAAGCATGACAATTCTATTTCTACTTCTCTTTATCACTCATCACTGCAGTAACTAGTACACAAGAGAGAATAACTTATACCAAAGTATGACAATTCTATATCTACTTCTCATTATCACTCATCACTGCAGTAACTAGTACACAAGAAAGAATAACTTATACAAAGCATGACAATTCTATTTCTACTTCTCGTTATCACTCATCACTGCAGTAACTAGTACACAAGAGAGAATAACTTATACCAAAGTATGACAATTCTATTTCTACTTCTCGTTATCACTCATCACTGCAGTAACTAGTACAAAAGAGAGAATAACTTATACCAAAGTATGACAATTCTATTTCTACTTCTCATTATCACTCATCACTGCAGTAACTAGTACAAAAGAGAGAATAACTTATACCAAAGCATGACAATTCTATTTCTACTTCTCATTATCACTCATCACTGCAGTAACTAGTACAAAAGAGAGAATAACTTATACCAAAGCATGATCATTCTATTTCTACTTCTCATTATCACTCATCACTGCAGTTACTAGTACAAAAGAGAGAATAACTTATACCAAAGTATGACCATTCTATTTCTACTTCTCATTATCACTCATCACTGCAGTAACTAGTACAAAAGAAAGAATAACTTATACCAAAGTATGACAATTCTATTTCTACTTCTCATTATCACTCATCACTGCAGTAACTAGTACAAAAGAGAGAATAACTTATACCAAAGCATGACAATTCTATTTCTACTTCTCATTATCACTCATCACTGCAGTAACTAGTACAAAAGAGAGAATAACTTATACCAAAGCATGATCATTCTATTTCTACTTCTCATTATCACTCATCACTGCAGTTACTAGTACAAAAGAGAGAATAACTTATACCAAAGTATGACCATTCTATTTCTACTTCTCATTATCACTCATCACTGCAGTAACTAGTACAAAAGAGAGAATAACTTATACCAAAGTATGACAATTCTATTTCTACTTCTCATTATCACTCATCACTGCAGTAACTAGTACAAAAGAGAGAGCAACTTATACCAAAGTATGACCTTTCTATTTCTACTTCTCATTATCACTCATCACTGCAGTAACTAGTACAAAAGAGAGAATAACTTATACCAAAGTATGACAATTCTATATCTACTTCTCATTATCACTCATCACTGCAGTAACTAGTACAAAAGAGAGAGCAACTTATACCAAAGTATGACCTTTCTATTTCTACTTCTCATTATCACTCATCACTGCAGTAACTAGTACAAAAGAGAGAATAACTTATACCAAAGTATGACAATTCTATATCTACTTCTCATTATCACTCATCACTGCAGTAACTAGTACAAAAGAGAGAATAACTTATACCAAAGCATGACAATTCTATTTCTACTTCTCATTATCACTCATCACTGCAGTAACTAGTACAAAAGAGAGAATAACTTATACCAAAGCATGATCATTCTATTTCTACTTCTCATTATCACTCATCACTGCAGTTACTAGTACAAAAGAGAGAATAACTTATACCAAAGTATGACCATTCTATTTCTACTTCTCATTATCACTCATCACTGCAGTAACTAGTACAAAAGAGAGAATAACTTATACCAAAGTATGACAATTCTATTTCTACTTCTCATTATCACTCATCACTGCAGTAACTAGTACAAAAGAGAGAGCAACTTATACCAAAGTATGACCTTTCTATTTCTACTTCTCATTATCACTCATCACTGCAGTAACTAGTACAAAAGAGAGAATAACTTATACCAAATTATGACCATTCTATTTCTACTTCTCATTATCACTCATCACTGCAGTAACTAGTACAAAAGAGAGAATAACTTATACCAAAGTATGACAATTCTATTTCTACTTCTCATTATCACTCATCACTGCAGTAACTAGTACAAAAGAGAGAATAACTTATACCAAAGTATGACAATTCTATATCTACTTCTCATTATCACTCATCACTGCAGTAACTAGTACAAAAGAGAGAATAACTTATACCAAAGTATGACAATTCTATTTCTACTTCTCATTATCACTCATCACTGCAGTAACTAGTACAAAAGAGTGAATAACTTATACCAAAGCAAGACAATTTTAAGTTGAATTCAAGTTTTCTGGAATTCCCTATCAAGAATTAAATTCTAAGAAAAACAAAATAATTGAAAAGTAAGGATATGGGGTATCCCTCAATGACCCAAAATCAGTATGTGCACAGAAAAAAACACAAAAATGCTAAGGAACAGCTCTTTTGCTGCTGTTCATTATCTCAAAATCACAGTGAGGCTTACACACAGAGCATGAAAAACTCATACTGATAAACTCTAACTCAGTCAGATAATTTCTATTCATAATACAGTATATCATTAAAACAATAAGCCTGGCTATTCTTTTTAAAATTAATAAGGTTTTATATAATTCATGCAATTCATATGATTATATTATTATAGAGGACAATCAGCTTTTCCTCTTTAAGACTGGTTCTGATTACACTTTACAGCATATCTTTATCTAAATGGCAATGAACATTTCAAGGTAATGGAAGTCAATTTTAGTTAGAAAAATATATCTAAAGGGTTCCATGAAATTGTCGTGCCTTGCAAAAAACTATGTCCTTTTATCATTAAAATAAATAAAAAATGAAAAAAAACTTTTTTTTATTATTTTTCTCTGGATAATGTCTTTTTATCATAAAAACACTTGTCCAACTTATGTAAAATTCCATGAAGGTTTGACAAAGTTATTGATGACTAAAAAACTTTAATCTTAGACTGTATCTTAATGTAATGTTAACAGTTAAAAAAAAAGTCCATTTAATAATAAAGTAATAAAGTACGGAAAAATAAATATTAAGATTTTTATAATTTTGCTCTGTATACATCTTTTGGTCATAAAAAAGCTTCTGTCCAAATTTCCTAAAATTCCATAAAGGTTTGACAAAGTTATTGACTTTTACCAAATACTAAATGTAAATGAATGACATGGCCAACAACTAAGGAATCTAGAATCGCTATGCCTTGCTTTCGTGACATAAATGTTGCAGGATAGACCAAAAATCTAATGCTTTAGCACCAAAGTATAACACATTTTATTTTGTGAAAGAATTTTAATCTAGTATAAATACAAGGCCAGTTTAAGTACCTGTGCTAATTTAGATACAGGTCAGGACATAAGAGTGTTGTGTTTTCAAATCATTAAAACAAAAATGTGTAGGTCTTCAGCAGAAGATATTTGTTACCTGCCATCAACAATTATAAGCAGAAAAGGCCGAGTCCATGTTTTGGTATGCCACTATTGAAATACAAGAGTGCACACGCTGAAATGTCTCGCCTTCTTTACTAATCATTGATTTTTTGTTGATAGTCCTAAATATAAAGCTTTATTACAACTGTCACATAAACTTAACATTAACCAAGTAAACTAAACATTGACCAATGAACCATGAAAATGAGGTCAAGGTCAGATGAACCATGCTAGGCAGGCATGTACAGCTAACAATTCTTCCATACAACAAATATAGTTGACCTATTGCTTATAGTTTAAGAAAAACAGACGAAAACACAAAAACTTAACACTGAGCAATGAACCTTGAAAATGAGGTCAAGGTCAAATAAAACCTGCGTGACTGACATATAGATCATAAAATATTTCCATACACCAAATATAGTTGAACTATTGCATATAGTATTAGAAAAAAAGACCAAACTCAAAAACTTAACTTTGACCACTGAACCATGAAAATGAGGTCAAGGTCAGATGACACCTGCCAGCTAGACATGTACACCTTACAATCATTCCATACACCAAATATAGTAGACCTATTGCATACAGTATAAGAAAAACAGACCAAAACACAAAAACTTAACTATAACCACTGAACCATGAAAATGAGGTCAAAGTCAGATGACACCTGCCAGTTGGACATGTACACCTTACAGTCCTTCCATACACCAAATATACTAGACCTATTGCTTATAGTATCTGAGATATGGACTTGACCACGAAAACTTAACCTTGTTCACTGATCCATGAAATGAGGTCGAGGTCAAGTGAAAACTGTCTGACGGGCATGAGGACCTTGCAAGGTACGCACATACCAAATATAGTTATCCTATTACTTATAATAAGAGAGAATTTAACATTACAAAAAATCTGAACTTTTTTTTCAAGTAGTCACTGAACCATGAAAATGAGGTCAAGGACATTGGACATGTGACTGACGGAAACTTCGTAACATGAGGCATCCATATACAAAGTATGAAGCATCCAGGTCTTTCATCTTCTAAAATATAAAGCTTTTAAGAAGTTAGCTAACGCCGCCGCCGGATCGCTATCCCTATGTCGAGCTTTCTGCGACAAAAGTCGCAGGCTCGACAATAAAAAAACACTCATATCAAAGATTTGAATAACAGGTGCATAATTTCATGTCCTGTAGAAGGATCTGTGCCATTTAATTCTGTTATACAAGTGTCAAGGAGTTAGTAAATGTTCTGGTAGGGGAAATAAAAAAAATCTTCATGACCTGTAAAAGAATAGGTGCAAGTTTGGTTCAATTCAATTAAGCTGTTTTTAATGAGTTGTGAATAAACCAAGTGTGATGTGGACAATGATGATGATGTAAGAAAACAGAAGTCACTCCTATGTGTTGCTATGGCTTTTGTTTCACTTTCAGGCCTACTTGCCAGTGCACATAATAAAATGTTGTTCAGACAACATAAAACACATTTTTAAAGTAGCATTAAATTGAAAGCTTTTGATTTAATTAAGTCAATCTTTACTTTGAACCATAACATTCAACTGAAAATAAACTTCAAAATTAGTACCAATATATATTTCAACAAAATCCAAGAGAATATGTGTATCTAACTAATAATTTATAGCTAAGTTGAAGGGGTTAATAGAGACATTGGTAGACTAATTACTTATCAGCATTCTATCTGGACCAAATGTCTTCAGACTCTATTGAATTTTTGTTTTAAAGTCTTGTGAAAGTCTTCAAACTTTTAAGCTAGCTATAGGCAATCAAATCTAATACAGTAAATTCAGAAATTATTGTGTGTATTTATTATTGTGATTTTCCAAGAATGGACAAAAATGCCAGTTTAATCATTGCGATTACGAAAAAATCTGCATACAGACCTATGTTCAGCATAAATAAAAACCTCGCAATAATTTCTGAATTTACAGTAGCTTCATGATGGCACAAAGTATCAAAAACACATTTATGACTTAACACATAATTCTGTACAATTAACCATACCCAGGTATCTTCTGAAACTTGTCCATGGCTTTATCAAATGCAGTCTGTAGCTCCTGCAATTGAATATTAAATATTGAACAGGGCATGAATATGATAACAAATGGGTGATAACTCTTGCAATGAACTTGAAGTATTCATATAATGTTCTGAGAGACCGCTTAATTGTATCTTAGTTCTTAGCAATTCTAAAAACAAAATCACTCTGTGGGATCAAAAGTAATTCATTTGTGTCTACCAGTTGGAGAATATGACAGTATGGATGATATTAAAAAGATTTTTTTTTCCAGTTTTCATTTATTTCCAAGACTTCATAGTATTGTAAATTTAAAAATTGATTCTGACATGCTATAGTTCTAACTGTGTCATGCTAAGTTTTCTTTCTTACAAAAAAATGTTAATGGATGCAACTCTAAAAATATATATTTCAAGTAATAAACAGCATGATGTTTTTATTCTTCAAGCAGGCAATCGTAGGTATCATGCAATCAAGGGTTCAAGTTAAATAAAATTACATAAAATTCATTTTTTAATTACAACAATTTAATTCTAAATTAACTAGGCCAAACAAATACTTTTTGAATTATTATAACTTATGAATGTGTCTATGGCAAATTTAGATAATAAGAGCGATAACTATGCTTAAGAATTGGGAATAACTAATACTTAACTTCAGGGGAGATAATTCAAAATAATTTTATCACTACTTGGTGTAGGTTACTTGGTAACATAAAAATCAATATAAACAATTGATGCTGTTTTAAAAGTTTAATAATTGGAAAGGAAATTGAATAACTTTAGAACTGTAAATATTTAAAGTTTCAAGTTAAAACTCCATATATAGCTGATGTAAAATGAACTTCTAGTCAATTGACTGTGTGGCAATATTGAACTGAAAAATTAATTAAAGTAAACTTTAAACAGTTGTGTGCTTTTAACTATTCTGACAACAAATAAGATATAATAGAATTTCATTCAATGTAAATATGGATATTTTCAAAACTTTTGTTCTTTATAGAACTATAATTGCATACCATTTTAAACATTAACAATTACAAACTCATAAAATTGCTACAACAGCATTATATTTTAGACTACATTTATGCATGTATAACATTTCAGACCTTTTGGACTATCTTGTTTATAAGACTTTTAGGAGATACAATGTTTTAATACCTCATACCATTAGGACTACAATATGATGGCCTTTTAAACTTGCCATTATTTTAGAATTTCTGGGATTTAGTCAACAGGACTACATTATAATATTTTAAGATCATCATGAAATGCATCCAAATACACATTAATACAACAAGCATAAATAATCATCAAACCAAATTAATGCAAGGGGTACTATACATTTATGGGCAATAAGCATTTTTATTATTATACAATTACCTTTGCCATGCTGACACTAATTTCCAAAGCTATGCAGACTGTGCCTATCACCCGACCTCTTACTTGTGTGTATATATACAATTTTACCGAGTATGGTCAGAAATCAGAGTAGTCTCCCATTAGGTTTAAAACCAAAAACCTCATGTTAAGGTGCCAATTTGTTTTGTTAAGAAAAGAGAAATGTGTAAATTTTGGGATAAATTCATAATAACTCTTCAAGAATTTCATTTTCTTAATGAATATATTTTTTTGTTATCAAATTTGCTTCATCTTAAGATGACTTTTATGAATGACAAAAAATACTGTAAATTCCTATTTTTCAAAGTGCCCATAATGAGCAAATATTTAATGGGAGATAACTGTGTAAATGAACTGCGCTTTCAGTTTTTGTGATCTATAATGAAGTACAATTCACCCCTAAACAACACTGCATGTTAAATATACATAGCTTGTATCATTTTTTATAATCAGCCTGATACACATCCGTCAAATAACTAACCAATAAAAAGTCAAAATTTGGTAATAAAATTTTGATATGTGAGTAAAAATAAGATCAGCCTTTATTATCAAAATGTAATTGCTCCATTTAGGAACATATAAATTAAAACTTATATTTTACTAAAACAGGAATAAATGAATACAAATATTTCCCTTCAAATGAATGTTATTTTTGTTACTAGAACTTCTTTTATATTTCTCAGTAATGTTGAACTTGCTTACTCATGGACCTATATCTAGTCTCATTGGGTTCCTGTCTCAATAATATATCCCCTTCATCTCCTTGTGTTCAATTTATGATTTTTGTTTGGCATTGTTGGGTTACTGTCTCACTGATGTAATTCAAACATAATCTGATTAATCTCCTGTTAAAAATGTGTCAATTTGTTGGTGTCTCATTTACCTATTCCTTACACATTCAACTTTTCATTTCCTGATTTCTGTTTTACATTGTTGGATAGATGTCGAATTGATGTAAACCCCACATTCCCTTTTGTCAATCTCCTGTTTTGTGTGATTGGGACGCTGTCTCATTGAGACCAATTCTCTTTTTCTCATTTAGTTCATTTTCTGATTTCTGTTTTGTGTTGTTGGGATGCTGTCTCATTGATGTATTCCAAACTGCTCTTTTTATTACTATCCTGTTTAATACGTGTCTTTGGGTTGCTGTCTAGTTGATGTATTTTTCTGTAATTTCATCTTGATCAAATGTCTTACAACAGGATCAATACAGCCCTTGAAATTAATTGAAGCCTACACTTTCTCATATTTATATAATATTTAATATAAACATTTCATTCATAGTTTTAATTAAAAACTACTTTTAAATCTTTCACATCCATGATATTCACAGTATATTTGGATGGTCTTCCATTTATTCACTTCAAAAATCATGACTTGTATTGGTTAATTGAATGACAGACGTGTTATCATTACATGCTTAGCAGACAATGACTTAACCAACATACAATGACATGTCACTCAGCAGTTTATGTATATGCAGCCTCAAAAACCAATCAACACCAATATTGGTACAATGGTGTTCTTAAAACACATTAATTAATGTTCTCAGATCATTACAGTGAAATCTTAATGGAAACAAAGGTAGCAAATAGGCCTACAGATTATTTAACCAACTGGACCCAAAGTTTTGGCTTTGGAGCAAGGACGGGTGGGCACTGATTCAGTCACTGCACAAAAGCTTAAACATATAGGAACATATTAGTAAATGAAAAAAAATCCTTACTACTTATATCTTTGTCATTTGAACTCTGGTGTGTAGTAGTCTCATTGTTAATCATACCACATCTCCTTATTTATATACTAAGTATGGGAACAATAAAATTATCGGCCCAAAAATTCAATAAGCCTTTAAACACAGTGATAAACAAAAAGTCAAGCTTTTAAACAACCAAATTGCTATGCCATTGCTATAAGTATGATATTAAAAAAATGGTCAAAGTCCCATAACTTCTATAAAAATTGTCAGATCAAAATGCTGCTACATTATGGTCAAGTACATATCAAGACAACAATTCTTTCAATTATGAAAACTATCGGTCAGTCTCAAATCAGCTGCTTTCACTCAGTGTCATTATGTTACAATTGTAAAAAAAAATGGTGAAATGCCCATAATGTCTGTTAATACTGTCAAAACAAAATGACAATATAGTATGGTCAAGAGAAATTATGACAAATAATCCTAACATTTGAAATATGAAAGCTTTTTTCAAACAGTTTCCCATGGTTTTTATGCAATCCTGACAAAAAATACTATTACTATGTCCCAGAGCCATGGACAATTAGAAGTAAAGTGTAGGCCATTTGTGAGTTACTGTTGTAACAGACAGACAGACCATTAATATGAAAACCATATAAAGTCACAACTTCTTTATCTAACTCTTTAAGACCTTGTCTTTATATTAAAAAAAATCCACAAAATTTAAATAGCAATGGCCTTATGACAAGCTATGTGACTGTAATCATCTGAGAACACTGTACCCAATCACTTACCTCTAAGTTTTCAGGGATTTCTAATAAAATCTCCAACTGTAGTGAGAGATCACATTCAGACATTTTTATATAGCAATTCTCTGTTTACAATAATCAATAATTCTATAAAAATTCTTTCAACCTCTGTTTTAAATGAACAATTCCAATATTATTTTATTTCAATGTGAAAAGTCACAAATATATACACATTTGTGCCATAGTTCTAGAACACATGAATTATTCCTTTTCAAACATTCCCAAACACTGGTTTCATGATGTTTTCATCTATAATCTATAAAGGAATAGTTTATGTGAACCAATAACATCAAAATTTAATTTAAATCGTCGATATCTATGCTGTAATTTTAATTTTTATCGGAGATGAAAAATCAACAGCGTCATTATAATCATACAATAAAAATTTATGATGATCAATATCAGGTTCTAAGATGTATTGTCCAAACCCAGTGTTTGTCTCCTGCAAACATTTGTAAACAATCAACTCAATTATATTTCCTTAACATTTTAAAATCACTTAGAAAGATCTTCACTTTCCAATGAAACAGTGCAATCAAATTTTGACCTCAAATTTGCAATTTTTATATTTGTGACATATCAAGTTAATACAAAGTTAAACTTCTGAAAAGCTATTATGCATTAAGTATTCAAAAACTTTGTGCATTTTGAATACATCAAAAACATAAATTAAACATAGAATATGAAATGGAAAATGTTTAAACATCACAATAAAGTATTCTGGTACCTGTGTGAGAGAAGGGTATAGAAATTTTGTATAAACAAGTCTCAAAAACTGACCTTTACAAATCTTTACAAAAATAACTAAAATGAAAGCTTAATTGGAGAATATATAAAGACATTTAAACACATTTAAGTGTTGACACTGTAAATTTTGAATAATGCCCCACAGGTATTTAATGATATAAGCAAATAAATGAACCAAAAAGACATTCAAGTTTTAGCTTAATTTTAAATTTCTGTACAAATTTTTCTTCCCTAGTAAATCTTCACAAATCTCCTTTTTTCATCATATAGTTACACAGCTTTATATTCTAATCTTGCCTTTACTTGAGATCATCTTATTTCTTTATTATATAGAATATTCTTAATAAAACCAGTACCCATTTCAAATGTATTTAAATCATTGATGAATGTATCTCATACATTTGTTTGTATGTGTTGTACTTTATAAGTATAAAGGAAAGTGAGAGCAATGGTTATTCAATGAATTAAGCTATAGAAAATATATATATGAACTGAAGGTTTCTTCATTCAAGAATTCAAATAAGTTATGAAAAAAAGTATATGAATAAAAATTAATTAAAGAGAAGAAAAATGACAAAGAAACAAATCTTGAACTATACATCAGATGAAATATTTAGAAATCCAAAAGTACAACTTAATTAATTGAAACTCTGTCACTATTTAAAACTCCTAGTCAATATCTAATAGTTGAATAAAATGAAAAGTGTCTCCTGCAGAGCTTTATGGATTATCCCATATTAATTATACAGTAAAAATATGTGTTTTATCACTTAAAGGTCCTACTTTGTTTATGCCCCAAGGACTTCTACCTAATAATTATCATACTTTAACAACATTTAAAAGGCACACAGTATTTTATCTGACGTTATTTTTGTGATGTATGATAAAGTTTAAATCTATATGTAAATCTTAATAATCATTCCATGGTCATTTTTTTTATTTTTTGATATATTGCTTTACAGACCTTCCTATAAAATTCTTTTACTAGATGTACATTTTTAATCAAATTTCTTAAAAAATTTATGATACAAATTTATGTGGATTAAATTTTGCAAACTTGGTAAACTTAATATATATAAAACTTTAACACAAGCGTTGTTTTTATCTCATATTGGTTAAGGTTCTTACGTTAAGAAATCATTAAGCAGAAATAAGAAAATTAAAAAGAATGATGTCATTTTGAATTCAATTCATGGACAATTTCAGCTGACCTTTTAATTTATTAACAAGCAAATACGGAAAACTGAACATAATAGTCAAGTGAGATAAGACATAATTATTTTTGAATGCACCAACCTACTAGTACACAATCCTGCAATTTTATCCTTTTAAGAATGCCATTTCCCCTTATTAAACATATATTAATTCTAAGAAATTTTAATATTCAATTTAAACAATAAAATTAACATCTGTTGATGAAATTGAGCTGTAACTGCAACATTGGGTAGGTATACATAAGTACACCCCAACAATTTATAAATGGCAAATGTTATTAAAATTGTTAGTTCTGCATCTTATTAATCCAACATAAATAAAATCATCAATTGGATTTGATATAAAGGATATCATATCTTAAATAAAGAAAAAATAATTAATATAGTTTTTTTTTCAAATCAGAATTCTGAAGTAAACAAGAGATATAGTTTGAAACAATATACTGATGAATTCAAGCTAATTACAGAATCCTTAGTAAGATCTGTTACTAGTAATATTTAGTGGTTTGTAAGTATAAGAGACTTTCACCATTGTCACCTGTTGTGTATGTATAAGTCTAAATTATAAATAAAAATAAAAAATATCAAATATAGCCAATTTCATTTCTATTATATAAATGATAAAAAAACAAAATACACGACTTTATTTGGAAACCATTTTTTACTGATAAATCAATATGGATGTGACACATTTGTATATTTGTGTAAATCATATACAGGTCATACCTTCACTTAAAACTTTAAAAAAATAAATATCCGTTGTATTAAGTTTTTTTTCTAGACCTGTAACTCTTAAAACAGACATCATCAAACATATTTCAGTGACTTTCCATTTTTGTGTAAAAATTAAATTCTTATTATATTGATGGCTATGTGGTAGGCAACAAGATATAACAAGAGATAAATCTGTATGTTGATATCACAAGTACTTTACTACAAACAACCTTTAACCTTAATAATAAGATTAATTCACTGTTGACGGAGGTCATACACATGAATTTTGAATAGATAAATTAATAATTAGTAATGTATTCACAGATATATAATACAAATATTGATGTAGTATCTGCTTTACATAAAAAAATCCTAAGCTTTATCTTTAATCAGATATCTTGTTTTATATGCACATATTCTGGGAACAATTTCTCCTTAGCTTTTGCAGAGAGCATAAAAAAGCATAAAACTGGATTTTAAATAAAAAGTCAAAATATTTGGCATTGGCCCCTTTCAAATCCATAAATATATATCTTATCATGTCATATATAACTTGTTTCAATTTCTGCTTCTTCAATTGGACAGTTTCCAAATGTTTTAATCATTGAATTATTAGCTTTCTCCCAAATGTAACTCAAAATTCTACTCATTTAACACATTTCTGTATATTTGTGTTGTTTCTGACAAAAACTATAAGTAAAGATTTTGACAATTAGCAAAAGATTCTTTACACAAATTTAAAATGGTTGTGTTCTATTCTAATTAATGAATCTTTTTAGTGTAACATCATTCTTTTTTTCTTTATCAGATTTTAAGTTTTTTATACAGATAAGTATATCTTAATTCAGGAAAGACTTGTGACCCATCATTCATAACAAAGCAAAAAATGTCATAAATTTTTATAAAGAAACACAGCTGTTATGAAAAATTAAGAATCTGGAGTGGGTTTCACAAAAAAACTTACGACTAAGATTGATCATAAGTCATGAACAGTTCAGTATACTTACGATCAATCTTGGTTGTAATTATTTTTGTGAAACTGACTCCAGTTTCATTTAGAACTAAAAAAAAACTAAATGTTTTCTCTGAAAAATGGATCAAAGACTCAAATGGCCAGTGCTGACATCAACATACTATAACCCACTTTTTCACCTAATGCAAACTGGCCAAAAATTTTGAAAATTGAAGTCATTTACCTACACCAATATAAAAATTTTACGAGAAGCAGACAATATATTTTGAATGGCATATGACTAACTAAAAGGAAGTTAGAATTCATAAAAAAACTGGCACTATTTGAAAGCAGATACAGAAATCACTGTCAACATCTAAAAATGGAGATTTGTTATATAACTTCTTCAAGATGTTTGACAAACTGAAAATCCACCTAAAATAATTTGGCCTTACTTTCTCTAAACATTAACATATTGTTTGAATAAAGGAAATCAAAATGCACATTGCTGACTTACTGCTATTACTAATTAGGTGTTTAATAACCTTGACTACCCATGGGTAGAACCTAACTGCAGAAAATTACCAAATCAACAAATTTCTTAATATAAAAATCAGTGATCATATATTCTGTCTTTATAACTCTTTGTTACCTAGATGTGTCAGAACAACACGAATGGCCCTCTTGCAAGAAAAGCTTGAAGCCATATTAAGGAGTGGAAATTTGACAATGAAAGTCTGTATAACTGTTATTTTCAGAGTCCAAAGCCCATAATTTTGGCACAAATCAGTGGAGTAGAAACAAATGTAAACTCGATCTGGAACTCATAATAGTAGACTCACATACTAACAAGAGTGCACACACTAAGTGTCTCGCCTGCTTTACTACTATTGATTTTAAAGTTTTACTACAAGTATCACATTAACTTAACATGATCCAAGAAAAAAAGGTGAAGGTCAGATAAACCAAGCCAGAAATACATGTACACCTTACAATCATTCCATACATTGAATATAGTCGACCTATTGCTTTAATAGTATACAAGAAACAGACCAAAGCATGAAAACTTTATATTGACCAATGAACCATGAATATGAGGTCAAGGTCAGATGAACCCTGCCAGACAGACATCTAAACTTTACAATCATCCCATGGATCAAATATAGTTGACGTATCAAATATAGTATTTAAGAAACAAACTTAACCCGGAAAAACTTAACACTGACCAAGGAACCATGAAAATGAGGTCAAGGTCATATGATACCTGTCAGACAGACATATAAACCTTACAAACATTCCTTACACCAAATATAGTTGACCTATTGCTTATAGTTTAAGAAAAACAGACCAAAACACAAAAACTTAACATTGAGCAATGAAACATGAATATGAGGTCAAGGTCAAATAAAACCTGCCAGACTGACATGTTCATCATAAAATATTTCCATACACCAAATATATCTGACCTATAGCATATAGTATTAGAAAAACAGACCAAAACACAAAAACTTAACTTTAACCACTGAACCATTAAAATGAGGTCAAGGTGAGATGACACCTGCCACTTGGACATGTACACCTTACAATCATTCCATACACCAAATATAGTACCTGAGATATGGACTTGACCATGAAAACTTAACCTTGTTCACTGATCCATGAAATGAGGTTGAGGTCAAGTGAAAACTGTCTGACAGGCATGAGGACCGTGCAAGGTAAGCAAACATACTAAATATAGTTATCCTCTTACTCATAATAAGAGAGAAATTAACATTACAAAAAATCATAACTTTTTTCAAGTAGTCACTGAACCATGAACATGAGGTCAGGGACAAAGGACATATGACAGACATGAACTTCATAACATAAGGCATCTATATACAAAGTATGAAGCATCCAGGTCTTCTACCTTCTGAAACATTAAGCTTTTAAGAAGTTAGTTAACGCTGCCGCTGCATCACTATCCCTATGTAGAGCTTTCTGTGACAGAAGTAGCAGACTCGACAATAATCAGTTCGATATGTGAAGGTGTTTAGAAAAAAGTCTGTATAACTGTTATTTTCAAGAAATTTTCAAAGTTCACAGCCCGTAATTTTGGCCAAAATCAGCCAATCTAAACCAAACATGATCTCGATCTGTAACTCATCATAGTAGACTCACATACTAAAAATCTGCTCAATACATGTGTAGGCATTTAGAAAAAAAGTCTGTATAACTGTTAATTTCACGTTTTTTCGTTTTTTTTAAAGTCCAAAGCCTGTAGTTTTGGCTAAAATCAGTGGAGCAGAACCAAACATAAACTGGATCTGTAACTCATCATAGTTTATTCAAATACTAAAAATCAGCTCCATATGTAAAGGTGTTCAGAAGAGAAGTCTGTATAACTGTTATTTTCACAAAGTTTTCAAAGTCCAAAGCCTGTAATTTTGGCAAAATTCAGCTGAACGGAACCAAACGTAGGCTCAATCTGTCACTCATCATAGTAGACTCACATACTAAAAATCAGCTCAATATGTCAAGACATTTAGAAAGAATGTCTGTATAACTGTTTATGACAGAATGACGCATAAGGGTAAAATTATATTGCTCAGACCACAAAGTGGTCGGGGACATAAAAAGTATTTTTATAACTGTATGTAAACATTATTGTAATCATTACCTCAGCTTTAAATCTTGCAAAAGCTGTCTGTGGTCTTCTTTCTTCACCAGTAACTGTAATTGTAAAGTTTCTAATGATATAAATTAATCTTTACAGGTATAGTGCTTGACCTGTTTTGGACAGTACTACATGACTACTGTATAAACATAAGTAATACCATCTATATACCCCATATCCTTTCTTTTCTATTATATATTTTATATAAATCCACAAGTTTCTGAAAATTCTTCTCTCTAGTCCTTTTTTCTTATCAAATTAACACACAACATATAGTCTAGTTAGCCTGACTTGGTACAGGCAAACCATATAGTGGGATTAAACCAGTTTTATGAGAGTACAACCCTCCTCTTTGACTATCTGGATCATATGTTCAAAAGTCAAATGTATATTTAACAACAGAGCACACGCTGAAATGTCTCACCTGCTTTACTGACCATTGATTTTATGTTGATAGTCCTAAATATAAAGTTTTACTACAAGTATCACATAAACTTAACACGACCAAAGAAAATAAGGTCATGGTCATTTGAATAAAATACTGTTTAAACTAAACTAAGCTTATAGTATACAAGAAACAGACCAAACCATAAAAACTTAACATTGACCAATAAACCATGAAAATGAGGTCAGATGATAACTGGCAGACAGACATATACACCTTACAATCATATTATACACCAAATATAGTTGACCTATTGCTTATAGTTTAAGAAAAACAGACCAAACGCAAAAACTTAACATTAAGCATTGAACCTTATAAATGAAGTCAAGGTCAAATAAAACCTGCCAGACTGACACGTACTTTGTAAAATATTTCAATACACCAAACATATCTGACCTATAACATACAGTATTAGAAAAACAGACCAAAACACAAAAAACTTATCTTTAATAAATTTTGTCTGGCCTGTGATGAAAGTCGCAGTATGCGAGACATAGGTATTAATATTCGGCGGCAGCGGCGTTAACTATTTGTATAAAGCATCACAGAACCCTGAAAATGAAGGTCAAGGTTATGACACCTGCCAGTTGGATATGTACACCTTACAATCATTCCATACACCAAATATAGTAGACCTATTGCTTATAGAATCTGAGATTGGATTGACCACGAAAACTTAACCTTGTTCACTGATCCATGAAATGAGGTCGAGGCCAAGTGAAAACTGTCTGACAGGCATTTGGACCTTGCAAGGTACACATTCTAAATATAGTTATCCTATTACTCATAATAAGAGAGAAATTAAGATTACAAGAAATCTTAACATTTTTTTCAAGAAGTCACTGAACCATGAAAATGAGGTCAAGGACAATGAACTGACAGAAATTTCATAACATAAGGCATCTATATACAAAGTATGAAGCATCCAGATATTCTACCTTATGAAATATTAAGCTTTCAAGTAGTTAGTTAATGCCCATGCCGGTCACTATCCCTATGTCTCGCTTTCTGCGACATAAGTTGTAGGCTCAACAAAAACCTGCATAGTGTAGCTACCAACAGGATGACCAATAACTTGAACAATGTAATAAAAGAAGGCACTAAATTTGGAAAACAGGATCAAGATGAGCTCACTACTACAGGAAACTAAGGTAGCCACAGCTGTGGCTTGAATACTGCCACTCAAGAAATTGAAAATCCAAAAACATCATTCCTTACAGGTTTCATGAAGTCTCATCATAAAAGTTGCAGTATTTGTTAGGGACTGTATGTATTTTAAAAAATCTTCAGATAATAGGAAGAAAGAAACATTTTAGTAACTGAACTAGTAAATCTATCATGCCTGTAGCCCTTGCTGTTGAAAGATGCTAGAACAGTCATAATTTCTATTTTAAGTCCTATTTACAACATTTAAAGGTACCAAACAACCTAACACTTGTCATAAGTGGTTCCTAAACAACACAAGAGTGCACACGCTGAAATGTTTCGCCTGCTTTACTGACCATTGATTTTATGTTGAAAATCTTAAAGATAAAGGTTTAACTAAAAGCATCACAGAAACTCAGGTCAGATAAATGCTGTCAGACAGACATATACACCTTACAATTTTTTTAAACACAAAATATATTTGATCTATTGCTTATGATAATTGAAAAACAGACCAAACACAAAAACTTAACGTTAACCAATGAACCATGAAAATGAGGTCAAGGTCAGATGATACCTGCCAGACAGACAGGTACACCTTACAATTCTTCCATATATCGAATATCGTTGACCTATTGCTTATAAAATTTGAAAAAAAAGACCAAAACACAAAAACTTAACATTGACCAATGAACCATGAAAAAAAGGTCAAGGTCTGATGATACCTGCCAGACAGATATGTACACCTTACAATTATTCCATACACCGAATATAGTTGACCTATTGCTTATAGTACTTGAAAAACAGACCAAAACACAAAAACTTAACAATGACCAATGAACCATGGAAATGAGGTCAAGGTCAGATGAAACCTGCCAGACTGACATGCACTCATTACAGTCATTCCATACACCAAATGTAGTTGACCTATTGCCTTAAGTACTTGAAAAACAGACCAAAACACAAAAACTTAACATTGACCAATAAACCATGAAAATGAGGTCAAGGTCAGATGAAACCTGCCAGAATGACATGCACCCATTACAGTCATTCCATACACCACATATAGTTGACCTGTTGCTTATAGTAATTGAGAAATGGACTTAATCACGTAACTTTAACCTTGACCACTGATCTATGAAATGAGGTCGAGGTCAGGTTAACCCTGTATGACATACATGTAGACATTGCAAGGAACCCATATACCAAATATGGTTACCCTATTACTCACAATAAGTGAGAAATTCACATGACAAAAAAACTCAAATTTTTTTTCAAGCAGTTGTTGAACCATGAAAATGAGGTCAAGGACATTGGACATATGACAGACGGAAACTTCGAAACATACGGTATCTGCATACAAGATATGAAGTATACAGGTCTTCTTCCTTCTGAAATATAAAGCTTTATACAAATAGTTAACGCCGCCGGATAGTTATACCTATGTCTCGCATACTGCGACGAGTCAGACAAAAATCATAACAATTGTTGAGGCAGGAAAAACATTACCCATACCTAACCAATGTTTCAACTTACTTAACAGAAGAAATAAATATACCTGGTAACATTTTCTTTCTATGGAATGAAGAATAAGGTCTTTGATGAGCTAATCCCTTTTCCTCCTCTGTTAACAATGTTTCATCTTGCTCTTCCATCTTCTCCCCTCTTTTAAGAAGTCTCTGTTTGAATTCTTCATTATCTGTATATTCATCATCTGCATCATGTATTGTCTGGTGTGCATGTCCTTCCTCTACTTCAGATATTGGAGATGCACGTGCTGAAAGAATACCATAACTGAATTATAGACCTTACTTAGCAACTTCAAATATTGGAAAAACACATAATAAACTATAACACTTTATTGAAATAAAGACTGCAATTTTTCATGTGTTATCCAATTAATCAGCGTAAATCCTGTTTGATCTTGAACTTCATACTTTGAAATATCATGAATATCAACACGAAAAACAAAATGAATAAAAATATTAATATAATTACAGCTACCTCAATTTTTTTCTATATTAAAATTGAAATTGGACGGAACTTAATCATATATGTATAATAAAATTAAGTTATACTTTATTCAAATTTTAAAATAGGAAAGTTTAAAATAGGGAAAAACTCATTGGACCATTTTCTTTAAACACTATGACAGTCAAGTGTGCAAAATGTCATAAAAAAGAATGAAAATAAATTATAACACAAACCCATCTGAAAAATAAACATTGATTAGTTTGACTGGTTTAATTTTTAAAAGATCACCTACAGAATGTACAATTTGTTGCTCAAATTCAAATATAGGTAGATATTTTAATGCAAGATTTAATTAGACTCACAAATACGTAAGATATGGGTTTATATTGAAAATCTTTTTATTTACACCATCTGTTTCTACAGGCAAAAGATTTATCACCTACTATAGCTTGTAAAACTTTATTAAAATCTCAAATATTTCCTATGATTAATTTAATTTGGAATTTTTTTTAAATGTTTTGCTTGTTCTTTTGTTCTTGTGTTGTGTTTAGAAAAAAAATCTTAATACAAAATTTATAACTATGAAATACAAACAAATATCCTTTCTTTAATCTTCTGTTCAATGGTATGAAAATTACAGGAAAGTAAAACAATTTTTTTCTACAGGGAGCATAAACAAACTGTACTTCCTTTTTAAAATAATAAGTTTTTTTCCCTTTGTACGCAATGGTATCTTATACTGTTGTGCTTTTAAAGCAGGATTGCATATAATAGACAGGTAACCAGTGTGCAGGGGTAAAAATAACAGTGCATCAATAACTAGATAAGGATAGACACTAATTTTTGTTCCACTCTCAGTCTAACCATTATGGTAAAAAGATATAGGTTCAAAAAGATCTGATTATGCCCTATTTCTATCTAAAATTTCAACTTCGGAACTGACGGCCTTTATTGCAATGCATCAAAGTAAAACCAATGAATATATATATATAGATAAGGAGAAGGTTTCTTGTTTGAAAATTAAGGTATCAGGATTCTTTTCATGTCGTCAAAATTAGCATAAACAATTTTCCACCAACCTAAATGAAAATAGGACAATGTCTTTCAGTTTTTGGAACCAGAAACATTAAGAGCATGCCTGGACAAAAAAGATCTTTTTATAATATATTTGTTTTAAGAAATAACCATCTGTCTTGAATATTTTGTTTGACCAACCTAATGCACTGTATGTTTCTGAGGTCTAAATGTGAAGATATGACATTTCTGATGTAAGTGGGACAAACAGTAGTTAGCAGAAGGTTAATAAAAAAAAACATGCTAAGATTAACTAGAACCTGGTTAGTGACAAAGTAAATAATTGGTTAACTATATGTTAGTCAACTATAATATTAACAGTTAAAGAATGTATCAAAATAAAACAATTTGGTTAAGTTAATTAAACTAAAATCTTGTATAGCTGTAAAAATAAGTAGATTACTGGTAAACTAAAGGATAAATAAAACAAAACATTAACTACAAGACAAATAAATATGTGTTAATAAAAAAAATAATTAATTGTAAACTCTTGTCAAATCTAGTTAGCTGAATGATTAAATACAAAGAAAAGTCAGTTTAAAAGCTAAGAACAAGAGTGGCTGGATTACATGCTTCAAGCTGCTGATCTGACTCTCGAGGTAAAATAACTTTGATGGGCTGTGAGTTAGCTTTTTGGTCTTTAAGTCTCCTTAGTGCAGCTGTAGGGGTCTCGGCACCAGACCTGTCAATCCTTGACCTTGGTCTATCCAACCATCGTGGGTCCAATTCATCTCCAACTTGTGGGAGATCTTCTTCTTTTCCATCAGCTAATTTCCTAGTTGTCTCATTCACTTTTGTGCAAAAAACATTTAAATAACTCAAAATAATAATCATGCATACAATTGATCAAAATATATACTAAAATGTATTGGTTTTTTTTTTGCTTCATTTCTTACTGTTAAATTTGAGAAAAAGTCTGCATAAAATAGAAAAGTGATAATTAATAAGATGGTACTAACCTGTTTTATGTGATTTATCCAAATAGTCATCTGGTTCACCAGGTTTCTGTATAAAAAATAATACATTCTATCAAATCAGAAATATCTATCAACCATTCTTTTATTGTATTACCTATGTTTATAGAAAAAAACCTACATAGCAATGAATAAACATTAGATTATCTACAATTACATATATGAATAAAATTTTGTCACATTCCCTACAACTACCTTCCAATTGTAATTATGTTATCAATAAAACTGGTAATGAATACGAGCCTTTTATAATTTAGTTTAATTTATAAGTTTACTCATTGTTGAAGGCCTAACATTGACCTGTAGCTGTTCACATCCTTGTCTTTTGGTCTTTGATAGTAGACTCATTTGCAGATATACCACTTCTCCTTCTATTAATAAAGAAGTAGCATTTGTTTAAAAGAAAAAAAGGATTACAAGAAGGTTAAAATGAACTGATTGTATTAAGAGTGACATCATACAATGAACCCCATCAAAACACAACATTACATGCTTGAGGGTTGAACTGTATTGGCAAAAAAATCTCAGACATAATTTTTGACCAAAGTCAAGCATCAAATGCAGGTTAAACACAATCTAATTTTGATGACAGTCTAATATATTTTTCTAGATGCACCTATCTATATAAGTACATGTATCTGGAAACTGAACTCTGTTGTAAACCAGTCACTAAAGCAGAAAATCTACCTAATTTTGATATCATACCATATAAAATAGTGAACTGCAAAATACCTGTCATGTGACCCTAAATTTATTTTTCATGTTGGATCTGTCCAAGGTGGAACTGTACACAAATATATGGCTTTCTGTCAATCAGTATAAAAAAGTAGCTGAGGATGCATAAACACATGTGACGTGGAACTGAACATTGATTTGAACACAAAGGACGTTCTGTAAGTCCCCTCTACTTCATTACAAGTCATACCTTTCACAGTGGTGGATTCAGGTGAGGGAGTAGAGGGTGTACACCTTTCCTCAAACCTTGGATCTGCCCCTGATTCATTTCTGATATATATGGCATTGATAACTTGTCAGTATTGTCTTTGTCATACTTTTTGTATAATATATTGGTGAGTTCACAGTGTCTTTCAATTTATACCAATTATTTCTGTCTTTTTATCTTTCATATTATAAGTGACTTACTTTTTGTCTAATTTACTCTTTACAAAATACCTTTTTTTGGTAAAAATTGAACTTTGATTGACAGAAAGGGGGAATAACCTGAGTAAGGAAGTTGTTGTCTTGGGGTTATTTTGTGGTGGGGCATTGAGGTCTAAATTATAATGGATAGCTTAAATAACGAATTTTCTAAAGGTTAAAAAATTAACCATCTAATTAAGTTATTATGTCATCATAAAAAGTTATAAGGGGATAAGATATGTTTTGGAAATTTTTTAACAAATCAGTATTTTATTCATGTACAATTAAATAATTTTCCAAACATCAAATTACTGATTGATGTTTACAATTTAAATCTAACCTATGATTTGCTGAAACACATTTACAATGTCACAACACTGCAGCAAGCAATCATACAACACATAAACAATACCAAAGCATAATAAAAAACATTACTGGCAAAAATAAAAAAAATATTATTTAGTGAAATGTATATTTTGTGATATATGAACTATAAGTAAAAGATTTGATATTTAAATAAAGTGCTTCTATCTAAAGTAAGAAAGTATACAGTCATTGATATTATAAGTACTGGTGATTTCCAAATCTAAATATTACTATGTAATTATGTGTATTGCTTATTATGTAGGCAATTATATCAACATGTAAACCTGATTTGAGATTATCTAAAGATAACAGCTTATACGTTATACATGATAAATGCATCTGTAACTATTTCTGAATGACAATTATGTTAGGCTCACACATCTTCATTTATTTTCCTCTAAATGTTCAAAAAAAAATTATTGGAAAACTAAAATTAAAAAGCTGCATGTTCTCTTCTTCTTTTCTTATATTACTGTGTTTCTAAACCATACATATGAACTCATGAACCTGAAGATATAGAATCAATTTCCAGACTGACAAATAGGAATCTTCTTTAATCGTTTGATTGTGATATGAGTATACTCACCAACTGTTGAAAACAGGTTCTTGATTGTGTTATAATTATACTCACATACTGTTGAAAACAGGTTTTGATTGTGTTATAAGTAAACTCACATACTGTTGAAAATAGGTTTTGATTGTGGTATGACCTAGTATACTTACCAACTGTTGAGATCTGGTTTTTGATTGTGGTATAACCTAGTATACTCACCAACTGTTGAGATCTGGTTTTTGATTGTGGTATGACTCAGTATACTCACCAACTGTTGAAAACAGGTTCTTGATTGTGGTATGACCTTGTATACTCACCATCTGTTGAGATCTGGTTCTTGATTGGGATATGACTTAGTATACTTAACAACTGTTGATTACAGGTTCTTGATTGTGGTATGACCTAGTATACTTATTTGAAAACAGGTTTTGATTGTGGTATGACCTAGTGTACTAATTTAAAAATAGGTTCTTGATTGTGGTATGACCTAGTATCACAATTTTGGCTTTTTTTTATTTACTGTGGTATTTTTGTTATACTCTTTTATACTCACCAACTGTTGAGATCTGATTCTTGATTGTGGTATGACCTAATATACTCACCAACTGTTGAACTGGTTCTGGTGTGTCCAATCTGTCTAAATCTCTTGTTGGTGTTGGGGCCATGCTTGGGGTTTTACTTCTATCCCCTATCATGGTCCTTGGTCTGTCTGGATTATATTTTGCTTTAATCCCTAGAGCACCTGTCCCTTTTCTCAGGGGAGGTAACTCAAGTTTAGTTCCCATTAAACCTTGTTGTTTAGGTTCAACACCGGCTTCCATAGCCCAAAGCTGTTCTTCCATGCTCTCCATCATAGATTGATCGTCTACCTTTATCATAGGATCTTCTCTTAATTTCTCTGCTGATGTTTGATTGTCCAGTGGTTTCATATTGGGAGCTGGTTTTGGCTACAATAAGGATGCAGCTAAAGCATGCTCACAACAGTGCACAAGCAAAGCAATATAATATACATCTTCATCTCTTTAAGTGATACTTGTTATAGAGGTATATTTTATATATTAACTACATGATTATTTGAATAAGAGAAAGGTAAGTAATGCATTAATTTTTCTTTCTTATCTTTCTTCAGTATTACACTGGTATGAGCGCAAACCATCCAAAGAAAGACAACTCTTTCTTTTAAACAAATTAATCTTGGATTCACTCTCACTGCAGAAGAGACAGACAGAACAGAAGGACATATTTACATTTATTGGATGTAAGAATGATATATTGTGGGATATTATCATTTCCTGATATATGGCAGAATCATTCATTATTTTAATAGATTAAAAAAGTTAACAAAATTGATTTGGCAAACCACCTCAATTTTTGTTTAAAATAAACAACTGTGCTAAATTATATTAAATCAAGGGGCACTAGTGAAAGTAATAGCTGTCCTGTATGTAAGGATTATAAGAACAATATATATTACTTTTATTTAATGCTTAAGATATTATTCAGAATGATATATAGAGTGGCAATCTAATGCTCCCCTAAAATTTATTTAGGTAACAAAAAACTTTAAATAAATCTTACTACTATGGTGAACAGATTTAAATTGGACAAATCTATCAAAAGTTCATTTAAGACAAATGAAAAAGATGTTTAGTAATTTTTTAGTTTGTATTCAGTGAAAAAATTTGGTACGACTAGGTATCATGTATTACTGGTATACTAAAATCTATCTTGTGAAGAAAATCAAGATTTCAAGTTACCAACAAAAAATGCCAACAGCTTAAAAACAACACTGACCTTTGGTACTAAATAATAGTACCAGTCACTATGCTTACTGAATGTGATCAAATACTAGTTCATTTTAAAAAAATTACTTAATGGAGAGCCCATAAATGAATCTATAAATAGTTAAAATCTATAATTTTATTAATTCAACTAATTATTATCCCTTATTTTTGTTAAATGAATAGTACTTATTCCATTCTTGCAAAAAATGACAACAATCAATACTCTAGCTACAACATAAACATATGAATATGAATGGCTTACCCTAAGATGAGGAGCTATGTCCATTCTCTCACTTTGCTGTTTTAGTAATTCTTGCCGTTTCAGTTCTAGTAATTCTTCAGGAGTTGGTCCTTTCTTCTTTTGTTGCATTCTACGTTCTAACATTTGTTTTCTTCTCAGCTCTTTTTGTTCTTTTAGTTTATGTTCTTTCAGTTTCTTTTGTACCTCCTGAAAACAATTTTAGGTATTTTAGAAAATACAACAGTAAAATTTCTGTTCAAATCTATGAAGGGTCAAAATTCCTTTAGGTATGGACAGAGCAGTACCATAATATAATTGTTGTGCCTATAAAGTGAGAATCAAACAAAAAGAAATGAAACGAAACAAAACAAAATTAAAGCAAAAAAAAAACAAAACTAAATGAAATAGGAACCAACGATTAACCTACATCTCCTTATATTGATTCTTCAAACAAGTGATACAAGAACTGTATTAGGTTCCATGTTCAGAAGATACTTTGTCTAAAATGTTACTTGTTTTGTTATTTGTCAATACCAAAGCTGAATTACACAATATGATTTAGTCTGATAATATCTAGCTTTAATGGAAATAGAAACAAGAACCACGTTAGGTTTTATAATCATTTAAAAAGAATTGTTTTCTAAAGATCTTTTATTTGAAAACAAGAGTGCACACGCTGAAGAAATATCTCGCCTGTTTTACTGACCATTGATTTTAAGTTGAAAGTCTTAAAGATAAAGGTTTTACTACAAGTATCACATAAACTTAACATTCTTAAAGATCCATGACAATGAGGTCAAGCTTAGATAAAAACTGTCACACAGACATGTACACCTTACAATTATTCCACACACCAAATATAGTTTACCCATTGCTTATGGTAATCGAAAAACAGACCAAAACACAAAAACTTAACGTTAACCAATGAACCATGGAAATGAGGTCAAGGTCAGATGATACTGGCTTGACAGACATGTACACCTTACAATAATTCCATACACCAACTATAATTGACCCATTGCTATTAGTATTTGAAAAACAGACCAAAACACAAAAACTTAACATTGACCAATGAACCATGAAAATGAGGTCAAGGTCAGATGACACCAGCTAGACAGACATGTAAACCTTACAATCATTCCATACATCAAATATAGTTGACCTATTGCTTACAGTACTTGAAACACAGACCAAAACACAAAATATTAACAATGACCAAAGAACCATGAACATGAGGTCAAGGTCAGATGAAACCTGCCAGTCTGACATGTACCCCTTACAATCATTCCATACACCACATATAGTTGACCTGCTGCTTGTAGTATCTGAGAAACAGACCTAATCACGTAACTTTAACCTTGATCACTGATCCATGAATTGAGGTCGAGGTCAGATTAACTCTGTCTGATGGACATGTATATGTTGCAAGTAACCCATTTACCAAATACAGTTATCCTATTACTCATAATAAGTGAGAAATTCACATGACAAAAAACTGTAATTTGTTTTTTCAAGCAGTCACTGAACCATGATAATGAGGTCAAGGACAATGGGCATATGACAACGGAAACTTCGTAACATAAGGTATCTGCATACAAGGTATGAAGTATCCAGCTCTTCTACCTTCTGAAATATAAAGATTTATACAAATAGTTTATGACCCCGCCGCTGGATAGTAATACCTATGTCTAGCATACTGCAAATTTCGTCGCAGGCAAGACAAAAATCAAATCTTAGGAATAAATGGTCAATTCTGAGGTTGTGAGTTCAAACCCTGCAGGTGGCAGCTATGTTCGACTCAATTCATATTTGACTAGGATTGTCAAAAAGGTTGATGTTTCTCTCAGTGCACTCAAGCTTCTTCCACCAATAAAAACTGACCACCATCAACCAATAGTGCTGCAGGTGGCATCAAACACCAACAATCAAGTCAAGCCAATTCTACCATAAGATAAGTTTCTGACCATCCCAAGAAAGGCCCTTTAAGTGAAGGTTTTTCTCCTTTTCACAGAAATTCTAAAATTTGGCAATTTCTAGAAAATTCATAGTCATAAGAGAAAAATGAGATGTGGGTTAGATTTTATTGTAGCTTGTTAAATCAATTTTTTATATAAAATATTAGTTTTAAAAAAAAGGAGACAAACATTTGGTGGAGACTCATCTTCATTTATATATGTTTAATATAAAACACAAATTGTAATGCATAGTTAAATAAAGTCTTTTAGCTGTTTACTGTTTTAGTAATCTTATTCCTTTAATATACTTATTTTTTGAGTTATTCTATTCCTTTATTATACTTATTGTTTGAGTTATTCTATTCCTTCATTATACTTATTGTTTGAGTTATTTTATTCCTTTATTATACTTATTGTTTGAGTCATTCTATTCCATCATTATACTTATTGGTTGAGTTATTCTATTCCTTTAATATACTTATTGTTTGAGTTATTCTATTCCTTCATTATACTTATTGTTTGAGTTATTCTATTCCTTCATTATACTTATTGTTTGAGTTATTTTATTCCTTTATTATACTTATTGTTTGAGTCATTCTATTCCATCATTATACTTATTGGTTGAGTTATTCTATTCCTTTAATATACTTATTGTTTGAGTTATTTTATTCCTTTATTATACTTATTGTTTGAGTTATTCTATTCCTTTATTATACTTATTGTTTGAGTTATTCTATTCCTTCATTATACTTATTGTTTGAGTTATTCTATTCCTTCATTATACTTATTGTTTGAGTTATTTTATTCCTTTATTATACGTATTGTTTGAGTAATTTAATTCCTTTATTATACTTATTGTTTGAGTTATTTTATTCCTTTATTAAACTTATTGTTTGAATTATTCTATTCCATTATTATACTTATTGTTTGAGTTGTTCTATTCCTTCATTATACGTATTGTTTGAGTTGTTCTATTCCTTCATTATACTTATTGTTTGAGTTATTCTATTCCTTCATTATACTTATTGTTTGAGTTGTTCTTTTCCTTCATTATACTTATTGTTTGAGTTATTCTATTCCTTCATTATACTTATTGTTTGAGTTGTTCTATTCCTTCATTATACTTATTGTTTGAGTTATTCTATTCCTTCATTATACTTATTGTTTGAGTTATTATATTCCTATAATATGCTTATTGTTTGAGTTATTCTATTCCTTCATTATACTTATTGTTTGAGTTATTCTATTCCTTCATTATACTTATTGTTTGAGTTATTATATTCCTATAATATGCTTATTGTTTGAGTTATTTTATTCCTTCATTATACTTATTGTTTGAGTTATTTTATTCCTTTATTATACTTATTGCTTGAGTTGTTCTATTCCTTCATTATACTTATTGTTTGAGTTATTCTATTCCTTCATTATACTTATTGTTTGAGTTATTCTATTCCTTCATTATACTTATTGTTTGAGTTATTCTATTCCTTCATTATACTTATTGTTTGAGTTATTCTATTCCTTCATTATACTTATTGTTTGAGTTATTCTATTCCTTCATTATACTTATTGTTTGAGTTATTTTATTCCTTCATTATACTCATTGTTTGAGTTTATTGGTTGAGTTATTCTATTCCTTTATTATACTTATTGTTTCAGTTATTCTATTCCATCATTATAATTATTGTTTGAGTTGTTCTATTCCTTCATTATACTTATTGTTTGAGTTATTCTATTCCTTTATTAAAATTATTGTTTGAGTTATTCTATTCCTTCATTTTACTTATTGTTTGAGTTATTCTATTCCTTCATTATACTTATTGTTTGAGTTGTTCTATTCCTTCATTATACTTATTGTTTGAGTTGTTCTATTCCTTCATTATACTTATTGTTTGAGTTATTTTATTCCTTCATTATACTAATTGTTTGAGTTTATTGGTTGAGTTATTCTATTCCTTTATTATACTTATTGTTTGAATTATTCTATTCCATCATTATACTTATTGTTTGAGTTGTTCTATTCCTTCATTATACTTATTGTTTGAGTTATTTAATTCCTTTATTATACTTATTGTTTGAGTTATTCTATTCCATCATTATACTTATTGTTTGAGTTATTCTATTCCTTCATTATACTTATTGTTTGAGTTATTCTATTCCTTCATTATACTTATTGTTTGAGTTATTTTATTCCTTTATTATACATATTGTTTGAGTAATTTAATTCCTTTATTATACTTATTGTTTGAGTTATTTTATTCCTTTATTATACTTATTGTTTGAATTATTCTATTCCATCATTATACTTTTTGTTTGAGTTATTCTATTCCTTCATTATACTTATTGTTTGAGTTGTTCTATTCCTTCATTATACTTATTGTTTGAGTTATTTTATTCCTTCATTATACTTATTGTTTGAGTTGTTCTTTTCCTTCATTATACTTATTGTTTGAGTTATTCTTTTCCTTCATTATACTTATTGTTTGAGTTATTCTATTACTTCATTACACTTATTGTTTGAGTTATTCTATTCCATCATTATACTTATTGTTTGAGTTGTTCTATTCCTTCATTACACTTATTGTTTGAGTTATTCTATTCCTTTATTATATTTATTGTTTGAGTTATTTTATTCCTTATTTATACTTACTGTTAGTTCTTCCTCTTCATCACTACTTCCTTCCTTCTTATGATCATGATCTGCTTCTTTGTTTCTTGTTGAGTCAGGACGTTTCTTCTTCCTAACAACTTTGTCACCTTTAGATAAGTCTTTCAGACTCACATCCTTCAGATTGTATTTACTGGTTTTGTCTTCTGGTTCCTCTACTGCCTTTTTGCTTTCCTCCTGCTTTTCTGTTGTACTGGCTTCCTGTTCTTGAGTTTCCTGCTGTTGCTGCTGTGCAGAGCTTCCCTCTGACATTCCAGCTGTAGAGAATAGGGAATATTATTTGTAAATGAATAGAATATTTTTACCTTAAGTCTTCAGGAGTTGTATATTTTCTAAGCATAAATAGCTTAGCAATTTGATATAAAATAAATATATAACATATCTTTAAAATGTGTAATAAAATCCCTTTAAAAATATAAAAGGATGTTGTTTTAGCTAGCTAATATTTTAAAAACATAAGCTAAATTTACATATTTTTTTGTTTCATTTGAAAATGTTTGCTCAATAATAAAAAAAATTATAATGATAAATAATTCAAGAAAAAAAAGTTCATCAAACAAAATCTTCCAAAATGGATTTATTAGACGGGACATCTCCCCTTATCAACGAGATAAACAGAAATAAATATTTACCAAAACAAAAGCAATAATTTTCATGTGCATGTGCAACAAAATTAAAAGTGTGAATTGAATTATTTTGATAAATTTCTCTGGTGATTAATGCGGTAAATAGTGGGTAAGGGATACAAGTTAAAAGGTTGCCGGTAGTTAGTTTGTAAACTTTAACTGTGGTGACGATATCAATCAACTCAGTGGTGGAGATCACCTTCATGTGAATGTTTTACACTTTTTCGTTTCTTTCTAATAGATGATTTCTGACTGCCATGTTTTAATTCATCTTCAAAACCAGAAACACTGTACATTGCTTGATTGTCTACAGTTTGTCCTGACCTTGTGTGGGAGTGAACAGAAAATGACCCAGGGTCAGTTCCTGGTATTTTGCTATGTTTAGACAATTTCGCTAACTTGGCTAATTGTTTAGCCTTTTCTAGCTCTTCTTTCTCCTTATTCTGAGCTATAATTGTATCAATCATTCCTGAAACACAATAAACCTATTTAAACAACAAAGATTTAGAAATGACTGAACACAGTTTGTTTGTTTCTGGATAATGTTGGTGGTTTCATTTGATGTAAGACTGACATATCATTCTTATTCTCTGAATGAATATTTTCTAAATGAAATTTGCATTCCATTAAATGTTCAATAGTCTTTTACCTTTCAAAATTCTAATTAATTATGCACAAAAATAAATAATGCCACAGAAATTGAAAAGACCCATCCTATAATGGTTACCAATGTTTTAGAACAGACCCATGCTATAATTGTGAGGAATAAACTAAGTAAGTCGTATATGTACTTTGCGTTGTGTTTACTTTGCATATAATATTAACAATGGCGAAGCCCATACAAGGTGAAAGTAACGTCACAAACATGTGAATGTAAATACGGGAAATTCTCTATTTCTGTGACAAATGTCTTTAACCTATCCAAATTGATTAACGCACGTCCTAGTGTCTTTTTCAAATTTGTTTTTGTCAGTGCAATTAATCTCTCCCACCACCCTCCGAACCAGGGTGCACGCTTCGGAATGAATCTCCATTCAACTCCAAAAGAAGATAGAGCTTCTTCAATTTTCTTTGACTCACATAGCTGTTTTATCCCCTGTGATGCTGAAATAAAAGAAAGCGCATTCTCTGACATAACGATCTGCGGTAATGATTTCCTACTTGTAAATTGACTAAATCCAAGTAAAAAAGTTTCTTTGTTCATAGTTGGTATTATCTCCAAATGCACAGCTCTTGTCGACGCACACGTAAATAAATGTACCATCATTTTCCTTGACTTGAAGCTCTGCTGTAAAGTCTATACCTGTAACTGTGAAAGGCGGTGCTTCTTGAAGTGTTATTTTCTGTAACGGTGGAGGGTCTGGTGCCCTGTACGGTTTTCCGTTGATCTTATTGCAAGCTGTACATCTGTGAAGTAATTTTCAGGTGAATTGGCGCAAAGACGATATCCAGAATGTTTGACGGATTTGTGTAATGGTGGCATTAACTCCAGAATGCATTACTAGTTCGTGTGAGTGCAACACTATAAGCTTTGACAATCGGTGATTTGCTGGTAAAATATAAGGATGTTTTGCTGATTCTGATAATGGCGCATTATGAATTCTACCTTTACATCTCATTAAATTGTTTTTATCTAAATATAATTGAAGTTGTCGAAGTCATGGAAGTTTGGTGTTCTGTGCATTTTTTAATGTGAGTGCACATACTTCACCGGGGTATGCTGTCGCTTGGCAACATCGTTATATAGTTGATTGCTGTAATTCATCTGGTTTTAATTCCCTAGTGTTTCTCATAGACTTAGTATATTTGTTTCCAAGATGGTTGAATTTTGAATTAGGCAAGTCGGTCCTGTTTTCCATAATACGCTCTCCATAAACTGTTTTGCGGTTATACCACAAGTGAGCAAATCAGCAGGGTTACAATTTGTCGGGCAGTATTTCCATTTGCATTCTTCCGTTAATTCCTTAATCTCTTTAATTCGATTCGATACCAAGCGTTTCAACGGTTTTGACGTATTTAGCCATTGAAATACAATTTGGCTGTCCAACCAAAGTGTCACATCTGTATATTCCAAAGTAGATTTAAGATGTTGTGTCAAGCGAGCTCCTATTACGGCGGCCATTAATTCTAATTGTGGCAATGTAAGCTTTTTAACAGGTGCAACTCGTGTTTTTGCCATCACTAATAAGGCACTATGTCCTTTCGATAGATACATGTATGCTACAGCTCCATACGCTTTCATGCTTGCGTCGACAAATACATGTAGTGATCTTGAGCTTGTATTTCCGGTAAAGTATAGTCTAGGTAATTTCATACTTGTAACGATTCCTATGTCTTTTGCCAGATCCTTCCATTGTAGCTGTAGATTTTTGGGTAGGGGTTCATCCCAATCATAGCATTCTTTCCACAAATCTTGCATCAAAATCTTTGCTTGTATACTAACTGGGCTTAAAAATCCTAGCGGGTCAAAATCTTTGAAGGTTCTTTCAGAATTTCTCGTTTTGTAATATGTGATGATACAGACGGTATAACTCGTTTTGCGCAAGATTGTCAGTATTTAACACGTCCTCCTTGATAGCTAGATTTCTCACATTTTAGTTGTTTGAGGTTCATGAGCGAAGATTAAATGCTGCATTTAACATCAATTGTCGCGCTTCCTTGAAATAAGTTAAGGCTTGAGTTTCATTGCAAATGCTAGATAAAATGTTGTCAACATATAAATCCCTTGTGAGTATTTTAGTAGTTTCATTTTCTGTTTGCTGTAAGTGTTTCAGCAGTACAGCATTTAAGATAAACGGTGAACACGTCACTCCAAATAGTACAGACTTGAACCTATATGTCTCTAAATCGCTTTGTGTATCAACAGGGTTATTTAACCATAAAAATCGTGTGACATCACGGTCCTGATCATGGAGTTCGACATGTAAAAATGCCTTCTCAATGTCAGTTACTATGGCAACGGGGTTCAATCGAAATCTTATTAAAATCTTTGTAAGGTCGTTTAAAATTGGGGGTATGTTCATTAGGCAAACATTAAGACTCGGTAACTGTGATGACTGTCGGCAGCTGCAATCGTACACTATCCTTATGGGCGTAGTTGTTGAATCCTTCTTAACAGGATGATGCGGAATATAATGTACAATACCTTTACTAATATCGGGATCCTTAACCTTCTCAATAAATCCTCGGTGTTCTTGATCCTTGATTATCTGTCCATATACCTTAAGCAATTTGGGATCTTGACTTAATTTTCGAATGACGCTTTCAGTTCTTCGTTTCGTAACGAAGAAGTTGGTAGGTAAGGGTTCGTGATCTGGTTTCCACGGCAACGTTGGAATTGGACCAAACAACAAATAACCAAGTTTTGACTTTATGGCGGTTGGACAATTTCCTCTTAATATTGTATCCTCTATGAAATCCCAATAGAAATCAGCTCCGATGAGCAAGGAAATTTCAAAAGAAGAGTTGTCTTCTGTAAACGGATGAGCTAAACGTAGTCCTTTCAGGTACTTGAATTCTCATATACCATTACCGATGTAATTGGTTAATGGGCTGGCGATGTTTGGTACTACTAGAACCTCAACTGGAATTTTCATTCTATTTAACGACTCTACAAATATGCATGCTCTTGACAAATGACGGACTTTGTTGTCGGTACTTCCAAATGCCGATAAATGTATGGTTTCTGTTCCTAGTATTTGTAAGTCTATTTTCGACGCTAACTCCTCGGTAACAAAAGATTGCTGTGCTCCTTCATCAAACAAAATGTGCAGATCAACGTATCGATTTCCCCCAACTGGTCAACACAGTTTTTAGAAGCACGTTCGAACAGGATGAATGAAAACTTGCGGCAATCAATGTATTTTCGCTATCATTAACTACAGCATTTAGTGACTTTTGCTTATTATTAGTACATGTATTTTCATGGCAAAGACTTGTGTGGTGCTTTTTATGGTACTGGTGGCAGCAAAATTTCGATTTACAATCTACAGAACGGTGTGATCCTAAGCAGTTAAAACATAACTTCTTTTGTTTGACGATTGATAGGCGTTTGTCGTTATCTGTAACATTTGAGCATTTTGCAGGGTTATGTAAGTTCTGGCAAATATGCAAGGTTTTTGTCGATTATTTGGTGTTTGTCTCTCATGGTTATCGAATGTATCTACTTTACTCGGTTCACCTTTTCTATTAGCGCTTGTCAAAAACGATGCGGTCATTGCGTTAGGATGCATTAAATCCATAAACGACGACGAGCGTTGTCCAGCTTCAATTATAGTGATTTCTTTCAAAATTCCACGTCTCAAATCAATCAATTCCCAATTATCGGAACCGTTTTCACGAGCTAAGTGTTGTCGTATTTCTGACGGAAGCTTGTTCAGTATTATCGGAATAAGTAATGCACCATACGATTCTCCGGAGTGGCCTAACGATTCAAGACCTCTTATATATGCCTCTAACTTGTCGTAATACCCATGTAGACTGAGTAGGTTGTTTTGTGGTGCTCTAAGTTCTAGCATAGCTTGCATATAAGCATTTGTAATCTTATGCGATTGTCCGAAGCGCTCCTTTAAAAGTTTAATAGCTTCCATGTAATTTGAGTTTGTGAGCGGTAAACCGTCAATAGTTCTTGC